TGACCCCTTGACCTTTGGCCGCGACAACTGCCAGCTTGCCGGAGCACCCCTCCCTGCACGCGCTGCCCCGCCCGCTCCCCTCCCTCTCTCCCTCCCTCCCCCCCCCCCCCGGGGTCGTGTCACGAAGGTTCGGGCTTACGCTACTACCGGCCGCTGCGCAGCTGTCACCTAGCGCTTGGGAATGTGTGGTCTGGTGCGGATTCAGCCAACTACCGGCTCGCGACACCAGCGCCACGTAGTGGCGACGGTACATTCTTTTTAGACATACTGTACGTAGTCCTTCTGATTTGATTCATCGGTCAAATATTTAATATAAGTTATAAGCTGGATCTCTGGTCTGTGATCTCGCATCGTATCAGATACCTATAATGCCATTGCATGTCAATGTGCCTAAATAGGTAAATACGCGAATATGCGTGAAAAAGAGTGCTGCTCCCGCTCCTACACGTCCGGACCAAACAGTGACTGGCCCCTGCTTCCAGCCACCCGGGGCCGGTCGGCTGGCCGGCAGTCCGTCGCTGCCCGGGGCTGATTTCTGAGGGACTTGCAAAAACGCTTATTAATTGAACGTTTTACCATGTTTTACGTAATGACTTAGATGATTAGGTATATGTACCGACTCTGAGACTGTGTCCCCTTTGAATAAAACATGCCAGCGTAAAACAAATATTATAAATGTTTTGAAAATTAAGCTGGTGTTTTGCCATGCATTGACAAAAACTAAAGCTTCAACGCAAATAGTTCATCCCTCAATTACTATATTAGCGTGAAATGTTCAGTGCATTTCTTTCAGAAAAAAAAATAGTGGCGCATGTTGCCGTGTAAGCATCAAGTCAATTGGCCCAAAACTTTGCTAATAACAAAAGTGTACCGTGTAAACAACATCCCGCCGCCTGGCGCCTCAGCGGCCGTTATCCTAATATAAGGCCTTGGCTGTTATTAGCCGCCTAAATTAAAGACTGTGCCGGCGCCGGACATTTCCGTCTTTGCAATGCGCTGTAACCGCTGATAATAATCGATTCGCTTCTAAACCCCAATGGAGTCTTGCAAATGTACTGGCAATTTAATGATCAAAGAAATACGAAAATCGGCCGGTAAAATTTTGAGTTACGAGGGTTTACCTATGCACAAAATTGCGGCTGAAACTTTCCGCGTCGGCTGATCCCGCCGTAACCGGAACAGGGGGGGGGGGCATAGGGGCCATGCCCCCCCCCCATGGAGCTCAAAAGGGCCCCCATCGCGGTGTCATAAGTACGGTAAGGGGCACAATAAAAGTAGCGTATAAACTATAAAGTCCACTGGGTTCGCGGGGCCTTTCGGGCCTGAGACCTTGCCGCTAGGGCCCTCTGGGCTCTCTTCATTGGTCATAAAAGGGCCCTTCGGGCCTGAGGCTTTGCCACTGGGCCCTTGGGGCCCTCTCCATTGCAGTGTGGCCAAATTGGTAATGTTGCGGGGAAAGTCACCCCCAATGAAAAGTATAATGACATCCTCAGAAATTTTAAAATTACATCATATTCATCACGACGTTTTTGTCGTGAAATCATACCTACCTAGTGTAGGAATAAAGACTGAAAATGTTCCAATGTACGTCGATTCGCACCGTCATACTCGTACTGTCGCGCTTGCAATGTCGTTTTTTTACATCTTTAATGACAATATTTTTTTTTTTTACTTTCCACCAGAACTTGACGTCAGGTATAGTTTTTTCCCACATTATCCGTAAAAACTAAAAACTGCACCTAAAATGAGGCTGAAGACGATTTTTTGAAAATAGTGACATCCTCGTACGACTTTTTTATACATCATCCCCCTAACGCTAAACCAATTTGGTCACACTGCTCCATTGGGTTCGCAGGGGCCCTTCGTAGTTAATAATACGTACCGTAAAGTGGGGCTATTTGAGACAGTGGGGCTATTTGAGACAGCAAGGTAGTGGTTTAGTAAAATCGCTGTAAAATGAAAACCGTTTGATATTTTTTCGTCATTTTGCTTAGGCTGATGTGGAATTGAACAGTGAATGACCTGAATAACCTTTTTGAAAAATTTCGAAAAGTTTTGAAAGAAATTTGGTGTAAAAATTGAAACACAGAAAAACGCACAATTTAAGTTGCTTGAAAAGGACCCCTACCTGCCGCTTAACATAGTTGAAATTTTAACAGCTTCAGCACTGCATCTATCGTTACTACCGTTTTACTTATAGGCTAAGCATATTTTTCATGAAAATATCATACATTGTTGACGTTACTGCCGATTGCGTAACCCATTGTCTCAGAATCCCGATGACGCCCACCTGGTCAAACCTCAACCGATATGCCAAATAGCTACTGATAATGGTGATGCGATTGCACCCGAGAAGACTTACCACCTTGAAGTGCATCGAACGTTCGACATGAGCAACACCGATGAATCGGTCGTAGTCATAAACGTGCAGTGGGTTCATGGCAGGTACTTTTAGCAGCAAGCAATATTTACATGTTCGACGTTCGTAGTGTAACACTAGTTATTCTGATGAATATGTGCTTAAAATGTGCTTCATCAGTCACTGACTTAGTCGACAATCAACACATGTCTACCTTGGTTGACCAAAAAACACTATTGAAGATTAGTTAACACATGAACGTACTGTTAGGTGACCCTATGCAAGTAGGCTTGATGTGGTAGGGTAACCAGCCAATTGATACAGCATGCAGCGGTCGAGGAAAATAGTCATAAATTCAAAACCGCTTAACATTTTTCTGTTATTTCTTCGCATGAAGATGTGCAATGGAACAAGGAATCATGCAGACCATTCACTTAAATGTTTTGGGAAACCTTTTAGCTCGTTTGATTCATTACTGTGTGCTTCATTAGGTAGCGAGCCTGTCTCAAATAGCCCCACCGACTTTCAGTATGTCTGTTTTCACGCCACCAGGGCGATATACAAAAACTTTCTTTCAAAATTTTACTGTTGTTGACTTTAAAATAGTCCTTGATGATCACTCTGCAAATTTGAAAGTTTGGGGTCACATCATATTATGATAGCCTTAGCATATAGTGATGCAATTTTATAACCTACCGAAATGAAGCATCCTACGAAAAAGGAAAAGATTGAATATAAAGGAAATATAACTGTCTTTGCAACAACAATTTTTGCCAGAATGATCAAAATTAAATTTCCAATCGCATGGCATTTTAAAAATTATCTCTAGCGTGACCGATTTCCTTCAATTTCTTCGTTACTAAAACTGTCTCAAATAGCCCCACCCTATGGGGCTATTTGAGACAGGCTTTAACTAAAAAAATATCCTTAATCATTTTTACTAGCTGAATCAAAATGCACCAATATGAAAGAGCTTACGGAGAACTACATTTTTGCAATTTACATGCTATAAGAAATATGAACCGTCTTAAAGGGAGAGGCCAAAAACTGTAAAATCCGTTTCAAATAGCCCCACTTTACGGTATATAAGCAAATAAATACGTCTTGAAATTAAGAAAATGTTGGGCCCCTTCGCTCACATGGCCCCTTTCGGTTTGATTGCCCCCTTCCCCCTGAAGAAAATCCTGGCTACGCCCCTGCCCTTAGACGGCTTACATGACCCTCAGACGGCTTACGAGGCTCTCATGGGCTGTAGGGGCCTTTGGCGGTCTGAAGGACCCTCATCCGACCTACGGGGACCTCAAGACCGCCTTCAGAACCGGCTGAACGACTCTATGAAGCTATTCGTGGGCCTATCTAGCAGGGACCCATGGACTGCTTGCCCCTCAGTTCTAACATTTTTTATCATTTTTTTTTTAATTTATTTGGGCCCCCTCCGAAAATAGTGGATGAAATCCGATGACTTTTTGGATTTTGAGGGGTTTACCTTGGGCCCCTGAAAGTTTGACCCCTTGCTGGAGGAAATCCTGGCTACGCCCCTGCCCCCCCCCCCCCCCCTGGAAGACTGGAAACGCGCGGATAATGTGAGTTGATATACGCCGAATCGCGATTTCGGCCAAACACGGTCTTGAGAAATAAGTCACAGCTCAAAGGTCATTTGGGTCAAGGTCATCAGATTTTTTCGAGTAGGTGTAAAATTTCTAAATTCAAGGGCAAGTAAAGTTTTGTTGCGATCGGTCGCTTTTTGCGCGAGTTATTCTCGAAAAACCGAGGGGTCCATACTCCATACGACCCCTCCCCCGCTCTACAAGTGCGAGGGTTAAAAGGCCGGCAACCTTTTTACGGAACCAGGCACTTGCGTGAGGATCCACGACAGCGTCACAACATTATGTATCCCAACGCACAAACGTCTTGCCAGCTATGTGAATCTGCATCTCCCGTATTGATCACAGGGTGTGGTCAGTTACGTGTGCATATGTATTTACGGGCATAAGTTTTGTATGCACGAGCCACGAAACAACAAGCGTATCATCCAATATGTTAGTTGTCTAGTTCGATAGGACGATTGTGGCAATTATGCACATCTTACTATACGTCTTTTTTCCAGCTAGCTGGTGGCGTCTGTGTCCAATGGCACGTGCGCATATCTCCCAATACGCGTATTTGCCTATAGTGCTACTGCCTTGTGCCGAGTGGCAAATACGCATATCTACCGTTGTGTGGATTTGCCCAGATACGCGTTTGTTGTTGGCATGGGTCACCCCCGCAAAGAAAATATTGCAATGGCAGAAAAACTTTTATGTAATTATATGAATATTTATTACTTTTGGACTATGATACGCATGTACATAGGTAGAGCGCGTTATTCTGTTTCAAATGATATATACATTGCTGCGCTTCTGGTCAATGGAAGGCCACAATGACCGAAAAACACAAAACTCGCCCCTGTGTAAAATTTTGTGCTGACAGAAAAATGTTAGATATGCGTTTTTGCCTTTGCACGGCAGTCGTATTATATGGCAAAATGCTTCACTTGACGTGCATTCTAGCATACCTATTGGCTATTGATGGTTTCATTGTTTCCATGTTTCGTCCCCGCCGCATTATTTCACCTTCTTCACCTTTTGTCTGCTTTCGTCAGCTGCCGCCGGGTGTGTCGATATCGTTCGACTGCCGGGACCTGGTGACCCGACTGCTGCAGCGCTCCCCGCAGGACCGAATCACGTTCGAGGACTTCTTCAACCACCCCTTCTTGGACCTGGAGCACGCTCCTTGCGCTGAGTCGCTGGCAAAGGGTAGGTGAATTGTGGTGACTTTGAAGACTTGGCTTGGTTGTCGTTTTGGTTTTTCAGTCTAATGTCTCAGTTTACACATCATTGTCTTGCTTTGGGATGATTATTTGCGGTTCAATGGCTATGATGAGAACAGCACCTTCTTGAATAGGAACTATTTAAAAAAACTCAATTAAGGCTAAATTAAGTAAAAAAAGGGGTTTCCATACTTGAACTGACCCATTGTGGTGCTTTGAGGCTCAGATCAAGGTCATTGAGCATTATCACTATTGTCACCTGGCAACTACCATTGTTAAGTATCGCGCTCCACATCAGTATGTCGTCCCATTTACACTGCTGCTCACCGGTCGGCGGTCTGAGATCCTACGTCTGTTTCACCGTCTGCCCCTTCCTGTCTCTGTGGTAACGGATATATTAGTACGACACGCTCCTCCCCAGGTGCGCGGGTGTTGGAGCGCGCCGTGGAGCGGGACGACGGTCTACCCCTCCCCTCCGGCCTGTCTGTGTGACCATTGAACGCTATCCACCAGGTGCGCGGGTGTTGGAGCGCGCCGTGGAGCGGGACGAGGCCGAAGACTGGGAGGCCGCCATCCGACTCTACTCGGACGGCGTGGAACACCTGTTCGCCGCCATGCAATGTATGTACTATGTGCGGCAGCGCGTGGTCACGTGCAACATGCTGGAGTGATGGAGGTTTTGTCAAAGCTGCGAGTGTGACTGCTAGGTGTAAGTTTGAAGCAAGTAGCTTTAGGTTAAAATGGATATTTGTATTCCAAAAGACGGTCATTTGCATTTTACTGCCTTTTTTCATATTTGGCTCACCTGCTTGATTTTGCACTCATTGAAAAAAGCATCCAGCTTCTGCGTTTCATTACTTTTGCTCAATACTTAAAATGCCGTTATAATCAGGGTCGTCGGCTGAACCCAATCACTCTCATTGCCAGTCTCTCTATTGTGCCCTTGCTCCAATGGCGTTTATCGGTTCAATTCCGGCCCGTGACGCCCCTCCGGCGACCACTGCAGTTGAGAAGAGCGAGCAGTGCCGCATTGCGCTGCGCCGCCGACTGACCGACTACATCCGCCGGGCGGAGGTGCTCCGGGCCCGTCTGAGGTCAGCGGCGCCAGCCGGCACCGCGGTCACCGTGCGGGACTCGGGCGACCCCACCTGCTCTTCCGACGCCGAGGCGGCGCCTCTGGGTGAGAGGAAGACATCTGTTTGTTTATTCACCGACCCCGTCCGTTAATTATGGTGTGCTATTCGTGAATAGCCGCCAAGAACGGTTCGCGGTATGTAGGGCTCCAATTCTGATTTTGCACATAGTCATTGGTCAAGGAGTTATTCTCGACGGTACCACTGCTTTTCGGGCTTGGATGCCTGCAGCAGTAAAGTTGTACGAGTCTATGTGAGTTCCTTGTTAAATGAGTTGGCAGCTGTTACGAGGCAGTTGTGTTTGTTGCCGCTTTGTGCGTTTGTGATAAATGGGGAACATCACAGTGGACGCCATAAACTTTTACAACTTGTGTACAGACTTCCTTGAGAATGGAGCACGTAATCAAATGCAAACGAAACGGAAACTCTGTCTGAATGCGCCTGTTTATCCGTTGATAGCACAGACGGGCCCCGCCGAGCTGCTTCCTGTCGCCGGGTTGGCGTCTGACAGCTTCCCCTGACTCCCGCCAGAGGCGCTGGCGGCGCGGCGCGAGTCTGTTCGCTCGGCGCTGGAGCTGGTCCGCTCGGCGGTCTGGTACGAGCGCGAGGCGCGCTGGGACATCGCGCTCGACAAGTACCGGCTGGCCATTCAGGAGATGATGACCCCGGCCGAACAGGCTTGTCTGCATGAGCGACGCGTGCTCGTGGCGACCGTACGTACCCGGGGATCCGTGGGAGGGAGGTCCGCCGCTGGGCGAACGGTGGCTAGGTGATAGAACGGTGTCGGCTGATGTCTGCTTGTGTCAAGCTGGTAGTGACTGGCTGCTGGATACCTGAATAGGCAGTGAGCTGCTGTCTGAATGATTGGCGGTTTCGGTTAGTCTGGCTCATTACCGACTGTCTATGCGTCCGTGTTACTGTGACTCTTTCTTTCTTTGCGTCCTATCCAGTCTTAAGTCTTGCATATTTAAGTACCTGTCACTGTGTCTATATGACCAAACTGAAGCCGATGTATGGCCTTCTTAAAAAGGACACAGCCTGGGTGTGATGTCATCCTCAGCAACAAGCATTGGATTGTGTGAAAAAAAACGTATCTCGAACGCACCAGTTCTGGCGTAATTTGATCTATCCGTCTGTCGGCCTTTCATGTAACCCTCGTTCTCTCCGTGTGACCGTCTGACTCTGAGTCACTCCTCCACCCTCAGATGAACCGGTGGCTGAGTCGGGCCGAGTCGATCCAGTCGGTCCGCGAGCTGCAGTCGGAGCTGGCGAACCCCGATGGTGGCGGACCCAGCGCGCCTGATGGGCACAAAAACAGTACGTGCCACGCCGCCAGCCGGCCGGCCCGCGCTCATCTAGGTGGGCACGGCTCACGATGACCGGTATAGTGTAGATGGCTAGTCATGTAGCATACCGTGCAATTTAGGATAGACGTCATTTGTCAGATGATCTCAGGCTGAAGAGGAGCGTGTATTATGGGAGGAAAATGGCTAATAATTTTGGCTTATGAGCAATGGTTGTAGTTTTCAGATCTGAATTATGTTCTGCATTTTTAAATCGACAAGTCTAAGTTATGGACAGCGGCTGACGCATTCATTTCTTACATTAGTGCCAGCAATATTTCCAATTTCCCTTTCCTTTTTCCTTACCTAACTTCACTCAAACCAATGCGACCATCGAGTTATGTATTTACCAGGTCCCACCGATGCCAGCGATGCCCATTCTGGAGGTGATCGCCGCTCGCCAGCCTCCCGTCTCAAACGACTGCGTCCCAGTCAGTAGCGCGCGCCTGTGACAGTCACTGCCCCTGACTGGTGCCGGCGCACATTGCCCGTTTTGGTCACTTAACACGTGCTGGTGCCGGCGCACAGTGCCCGTTCTGATCACTTTACACGTGCTGGCTAACACTGCACCGAGGGTGTTCGTTCCCTCGCTTCACCTGCCTACCGCCGCCGGAATGATGGTCAAATGCCTTGACGTCTTACCTCTCCGAACTAGTAATCATCGGTCATCTACTGTGGTCATCTACTGTGGGTCACTGTTGATTGCATCGCTGGTCGGTGGTGCAATCAACCTTTCCCCATTATTCATCACTCCTAATCCTCTGGTTCATTCAGAGAGTGTTAGCTGCAGTAGATAGCAGATCAGCAGGACGACCAGCACATTGCGCAACCGTCTGAGTGTGATAACAGGGTGACTGATTATCGCGCTGTCAGAGGGGTGCTTATTTGCTTTAGGTTGCCAGAGGCACACACTACTCACGTTTGCTGTATACGCACTGCACAGTCGGGCCCAGGGTACTGAGATGCCGTCAACGTCACTGCCTTGCGATGAGCTCTGCTGTCAAATGATTGGTAGGATGCTATAGACTGGCTAGTGGCTATGTTACTTATTTACGCCCACGTCAATTTGACAAACTAAGAAAAACATTCGGGCTTCGAAACTATTTTCATATATTGAAGCAGTGTAACTTTAACCCGCGCCCTGCCAGGGGGGGGGGTGTTGAACACCCCCCCTTCTTGTGGTTTTTCGCGAATATCTCAAAAACGTCCGCGCCGCCGTTTTTGGTACACCTTATCATACATCAATTCTACACATGTGAAAATTTCAGACCAAGGTCATTCAAGGTCAGGTCCCCAGGTCACTTGAAGTGACCTCACCTCATAAAACGTTTCAATGTCTGCCATAGCTACACCGAGTGACCAATCGCTTTGAAACTTTCAGCGATTGATAAGGGTAACAGTATCTATAAAATGTTTATCTCGGAATTGTGATATCGGTGACCTAAGGTCAGGTCAATTTTGCGACCTCCCCATTATAAGTCAATGGGAGAAAATTGAAATGCGCCTCTTTTGGACGAAACACATTATAAACACTCCCAAACACTGAATTACAAGTGATTTAAACACACTGAACATAGAAATGGTGTCCGTGACCCTTATTTATGCCCCTGAGGTCATCTCAGGTCACGAATGGTGTCTAACAGTTTTTTTTTTCGCAAATAACTTTTGATAGAGGCATGCTAGAGCGGCGAAAAAGCCCTAGATGTGTTCAGCTCAATGATACGGATCGACTGATATGCAACATGACCCTTTCCGGTCAGGTCATGACCTTGACCTGGGGTCAAATTTTCAAGTTGACCTTTCAAGGTCAAGTTATAGTTCATTCGATGCGTCTTGACAAGAGGAACACGATGCCGGTAAATGTAAGCTCGTACAAGGCTTGGGTCAAAAGTTATTGCAGAAAATCTGTTTCCGAAAAAAATCAGCTATTTTTGCAGTTTTTGCCCCCTGCAGGCAAAACTGTTGACGTTAGGTCAAATCTGAAGAATTAATCAGCAAGAGCGTTAATAGGGCTATCGAATGCGCTTTTCCGCGGCGCTATAGCTCTATTGGTTCCCGAGTTATGCGTTGGCTATCTGGAAATTGTCGACATTCGACCTGAAAATCGGCGAAATTTTGCCTTCAATGACCTCTGTGGTGACCTTATCTTTTACCTGACCAAAAAAGTGACCGAAGTGATTTCGTCATTATTTTTGGCGCTCTTTCGAACGCCGCCTTTCGCGTATCGCTACGTGGCCCAGGAGCCGAGTTAGAAGGGGGTGTTCAACCCCCCCCCCCCCCAGCAGGGCGTGGAAATCCAGGACCTTCAGCCGAGCGCGGGTTAAGTTTGATACTTTTCTGATCCCGGATCATTTGTGTCGTCGCTATATCTAAAATGACTTTCTTTTTCAGAAACCTGTACGCTGCAGTAATATTGCAAGGGAACGTGCCTGTCGACTTCGCCTCCATTTTGGTGCTATATGCGTGGTGCGTACAGCACACAGTCATCACTGGTGACGTGTGTTGGCGTCCCCTACTGTGCACCAATGTCCGGTGGAGCTCTCGCACAGCGTGAGCTGCTATTTGGCTGTTACTTTAGCGGTGAGTTGATGCGTTCAATAGAATCAGAAGGTGTTATAATGAAAGATCAACTTGCTTTCAGTCATCGGTGCTAATCTTCAATTGCAACTCCATCGTTCATTTTCGGACACATGAAAGCGAGGAGCAGGGACTTCAATTTGCTACTTTCAGCCATGTCATTCATGCAACTGGCGAACAGTGTATCACGTTATCAGGGCTTTATCACATTTAGCCTTGCAAGGGTACACAGTCAGAGTTCGTAGTGGTCCTATACAAATCGACGCATCATGTTGAAACCTTGGTGTATTGTTATCGTGTACGTTAATTTGTTACCGCGATGCATCGAGTGTACTTGTACACGTATTTTTTCTGGTTGCGTCTCGCTAACTTGTGCTAATGGTGCAATGTTTTCGTGATCATATTTACCGAATCGCTGCGTAATAAATGCAGGCACTGTCTTTCGTTATGCACTTTTTCAATCCAGCTGACCATTATGTTATATGAAGTGTTTATTTTCCCTTAATTAACAATAAGGAATCAATATTATGTTGTTCTTTTAGTTTCTACGCCATCGTGTCTACATAGCCAGTCCAAGAATAAACACGATTAACTTTAAAAATTTACTCAGTGACCCGTTATCGCCTGCATTTAGTTACTGTTAAAGGGACCATCCCACCTTCAAAAAAGTTAATGAATTGGCATGAAAGTGATGTCGCTCGGTTCAGAAAGAGCAAAAACGAATATCTACCAAATTTCATCGAAAAATATTCACCGGTTTTCAAGATATTAGACTTTTACTTTTGTTTACTTTTTGGGATCTCCGCTGTTCCTAGCGACTTTATTTGAAAGTGCGGCATTTGTTGCGCGCAAAGCAGCATATACCACCGCGTGCTACAAAACGTTTTAGTCAAACATTTAACGGACGTTCGAAAGCCTGATGACGTCATCAGATTCCCGTAATGGTTAAGAGATAGGGACCACGCTGGTCCCACCCTGCAAGTAAAGGGAAGAAATTTCTTGAACACCATAAAGCTGCGGGGGTTGCGACCAGGATAAATGGTGGTTTCTGAGCCTGGCCGCAAACTTGGCTATCTCAACTCAAAACTAATGTTAAGGTGGGAGGGTCCCTTTAACTTTCTGTCACAAGAGTGAGAGGCTCGGCAACGAGCTTCGCAACTTATGACCGCATTAGTGCTCGATATTTACTGAGAGGTGGACGCGGAGGGGCGTGGAAATTCAGGGCGGTATCACACAGAAGCTGGACATCCCGCGGCCTACGGTTTGCCGGCTAGGTGCATTCCTTGGAACCGTTGACACGAGAGGCATGCTGCTGCAACGTTGGCAAGATTATCCAGCCGTTGTTGTAATATCTGGAACGTCGGTGAAAGGCGAATAACATTAGGACCTAATACTCCTCCACCCTAATACCTGGTACTCATGGCGCCTGTCATCACCGGATTGAAAACATTAGTGCCTGATTGCTGTCAATGAGATTGCCACTCATCCGCTTCCTGCGGAGCTCGGTTACTTCTAAATCACCCTGCCCTCCTGGGTGAGACGCGTCCGCAGCCGAAGCAGGCATGACAGCAAAGACGGCCGAAAGTCAAGTTGGGGCAATGCCTAGTGTAAGTGCCGGACCGATTGCGCTAAACATATATCCGGGCATGTAGTGTAGTCGATCTGAGCAAACTTTATACTAACTGTTGCATCAAGCAGGGTTCTGCTCAGAGTGTTTTTATTGCACCCTTTGACGGATAGGGACTTATGCTTTCCGAGTAGGTACTGCAAGGCACGGGGTACGCAATGATAGAGTGGGATGAAATGTATATATTCTTTTTATGCCTGTCCTACTGAAGAAAGGATTTAACATTTTTAAGCTGGCGTGCGTTTTTGCAGCGCTCAGAGGTCGATAAAATCTCTGACCATCTGACCCTAGTCGGAGAAAATCAAACGAGCGAAAATCACATAAAGAAGAAAATATCATGGAAGAAATTCTAAGATAAGCAAAGCCAGCATTGTTACAATGTTACATCCATACACCTATATCATCGACTAACAACAGCACGAGTAACAATTTAGTGATGACAGTTTTCTACCATTTCTCCACTTTCTCCCTAGTCAGAGCTGGTCTGATCCGGTCAGAAGCAGCTCTGTGCCTATTAGGTCGGTTTCCCTACCAATTCATAACCAAATATCGCTCTTATTGGCAGTCGGAGAAAGTGGCGTTTTTGTCGACCGCTTTGTTTTCTTCAGCTGCCAAACTCTTGAGACAAGATAAAAATAGTTGAGATTTATCAATAATAGTCGCTAATTCTTGCGATGTTTATTGCGAATCTGACGGAATTTCTTCAAATACAAAGAAAAGTCTCAATAACGGGAAATAGCCACCTTAGCAGCAAAGACGCTAAGGCAGGGGTCGGCAACCTTTTTTGGATTGGGGCCGGATAGGTATGTGATTTGGAAGCAGCCGGCGGGACGGAGCATGGTCACAATTTGTTACAATCACGCGCAGGAGCCGCGGACCGGAACACAATGTTAGTTACTGATGCCAGCCGCGGGCCGGATCCGGGCCGCGGGCCGTAGGTTGCCGACCCCTGCAAGGGCCCGACAGCGACGCGCGGTGAGGGAGGGAGGGAGTGGGTAGGGGGACTAGGAAAAAGGGGAGATGAGACGCGGGGCAGGAGGGCAGGAGGCCGCGGGGAAGGTAGGGGTTGGGGGGGGGGTGACTCGCAGGAGCAAAACACACCCGGGTCTCAGTCGGCAGAGGACTGCGTGCGCGTATTGTTTTGTATTGTATTGTATTTTACATCATTGGCACTCATCTGTGGCGAATAGTCGGCGATACCTTGGCAACGAGTCGGCGCACGCAGACGCAGCGATATGTCGGCGCCGACTCGGCGACTGTTTGGCGATTATATTCGTTTATCACAAGTTCGGCGAACGGCCACGAAATTTTCATTTTTCATGAAAAATTTGTGGTGGTCGTGACGAGCCGTAAAAGTCGCGCGGTGGACACCGAATGGTCTGCGAAATGCCAAGACCGTGGAAGAAAGATCCCGAATCGGTCCGCGACATAGGATGACCTGCATATTCGTGTACCAAAATTTGGCAGTGTAACAAGGGCTTATGACTGCCGTAATACCAGTGTTTTGGGTTGCGTGGATAGGTATCCAAATTCATCATTTCTCACAATCGTCGAAGAAAAGCCTGGAGAAAATTGGCCGGTAGTCGGAGAAACTCCATGAATTTTGTCGACCTCTGGCAGCGCTTAGCAGCGCTGTATTGTATTCACGCACCAGGCAGCACATCTCATTTGCTGCAAGGCCGTATATAGATTTGCTGCATTTTAGTGAAAGATGCAGGCAATAGCCAGTAATTACGTCAACCTTGAAACGCTGGTTGCCGATCGGGAGAAGTTTGCCGAGCTTCTTTTTTCCCTGTTAGAATTTGGTTTATCGTGGTTTTGGAAGTTGTATTTGTATAAAAGTCTTTAAGTTACGAACGAGATTTGTGAGTACCCTTCGCTTCAGCTTGGCTGTCCACAATCTTCCAATACGGCGATGTTTATTTTGCGCCGCAAATGTCTCATTAGCTTCATATATGTTGCCAGTCAATGCTTCGACTAGCTTTGATCAATTTTGTGATATTTTGCATAGAAGATAATATATTGCGTAAGAAAATAATAAATTGTCCAGGAAGTTATGTTCAGTGTTTTGTTATGGTCTTGTAAAGCATGCTTATATTATGTTGGTAATTCAAATTGATTCATTCGTCGTTAGCTGTGCACTGCTCAAAATCATGCAGCAATTTAAGTTACTGGCCAATTCAGAAAGGTGCCTGGTGACTGGTGCCACAATGGTAGCTTAGGATGAATCTGATCCTCTTGCTCCTTCAAAGAAATAAATATGAGTTTGGGTGAGCTTGGAGGAGCTAGGCATTTTTTTAGCTTCAACAAGAATCTTTCTGAGTGGGAACTGGAAATTGGAATTCTGCTATTGGTGGATTTTACAGTAGAAGACTCATAGTTCACCAAGGTCGACTTTGAGATTGACATAGTTTTGACACAAAGACTAATGGGAAAAAATGGAAAGTACTGTTAAGTAAACAATAATCTGCTGAGTGCTGAATCCCCACCAAGATGTTGAGGATTTCCATTCCACTTTGACATGCTTCCCATCTTACTTTTCATAATCTTTTGCTGTTAAAAGTCTGGGTTGAACTGTACTTTGATCACATTAGGTCTCTTGAAAAAAATCCATTAGTGGGTTTTCCGTAACATCTTTGAAAAACGCATGAAAGCATTCATGAAGTATTTGTGAGCACCCAAAAAGCATTTATCAAGTAATATTATGGAAAAATTTTGCCTGCGGCCATAGACACAATCTAGAATGGAACAAATTATGGCCTCAATTAGTCCTGTAGGTCCTTTGCTTCTATGGTTCATCTCCCTAAACTTCATCTGATCATTACTTTATTGCAACTTAAATCCTCACTCAATCCAATCATTATCCTTACACATCCGGCCTACATGCACTCAGAACTATGGAAAATATTGTATTGACTAGTTGCATTTCCCTGCATAAGGATGAAGAAATGATTGATCTGGAATTACCTGGTAAAAGGTACCTTAATGTGAAATTTTTCCCTTATTTCACCATACAATACTACAGCCACATAATATGCTAAGTTGCATGTGAGTGTACCACTTCATGCTTCTACATCCTTCCTCAAAAATATTTTTAAGTGTCAGTACCTGATTGTTGGTACTGGGTTACAGGCTATTGCATACATCATGGCAGAAGATCCCAATGATTGGAAGAGTGCCGCCTCAAGGATGAAAGCGAAACAACACATTGAAGAGGTGAGAAGGCTGAGAGAATGCATTTTTCATAGGGATGTCAATGTTGCACTGATTTTGTGATTTATTTTCATCCTTACTCTCCTTTTTTTCTTTATTTCTTTATTCTTACTAAATGATGTTGACTGATACCTGTGTATTAGTTACCGTTTGGAGTGATCTACCTGGGTGCAGTGTGCCCTGCCCGGGACTCTGCGAGACGGGGACGAGTGGGGTCGTCCCCGCAGCTCTGACGGGCGGACAGCTTATCACTCAGTCGTGGATACAACGTTGTGAGCGCAGTGCATGCTTTGCGTGTTCGACTGATTCGATTGTCTCATGGACAGATTACTTAATTTTGATCATTTTTGTCCGAATGGATGGGTGGGTGGCTGCGGACCCAGTTGCCGCAGCTAAGCAGTACTTGTTGCGAATGACACCATGGACCCACTACCCGACTTCCTCGCCCGGTTCACCGGCGATAATTTTGATCAGAAGTTATCGCCGTCACACACCGCAAGGAGAGTGGCCCTCTAGTCAGCTACCAGCTGCCTTAGCCGGAACGCGGAACGCGGGAACGCGGGATGTGGATCTCTCCGGTCGCGAACTCGCTGCCACCGAGCTACGAGGCTTGCTATCATTTGTGGTCGTTGTCCTGTCCTGCCTGCACCGTTTACCATTGATGTTTGATGGTTTCAGGCGATCCGGCAGTCTGGCAATCCGACAAACAAGACTAGCCGTGAAATGGAGAACCACGTGTTTCAGCGTGCCAAAACTCGTGAAGAGTACATCGGCTTTCTCGGGCGTCTGCTTCTACACATCAATAAGTATAAGCAGGGCGGCGATCCAATGAATGCTCTGCAGAACATGGCTGGGCAGCAACAGCAGCAGCAGCCCCAGCAACAGCAGCAGATGCCTCCTCAGATGCAGCAGCAGCAGGCGGGCCCGCCGCAGGACCAGGCTGCCATGCTGTCCAGCATGGCGGCCCGCAGTCAGATGATGCAGCCGCAGCCCGGGCCCGGTATGTCCGCCCTGCAGATGCAGCAGCAGCAGCAGCAGCAGCACCAGGCGGCCGCGGCGGCGGCGGCGGCGGCGGCTCAGCAGCAGCGGATGCAGACCCAGATGATGATGCAGGGCGGCGGACAGATGAGTATGATGATGCAGGGCGGCGGGCCGATGGCGCGACAGCCGCCGCCCAGTCAGCAGGGTATGGTGGGCGCGCGCGGCATGGTGGCCTCGCCCGGCGGCCTGGCCGCGCTGACGGCCAAGCAGCAGCCGTCGCCGGCGTTCGCGGCGCCCTCGCCGGGCAGCAGCTGTCTGGGCCAGAGTCCGATGGCGCCCGGCTCGGCCAAGGCGCCCAGTCAGATGAGCGCCCCGTCGCCGCAGCTGCACACTCCGGCCGGACCGGCCAACGCCACCACCTCGCCGCGCAGCCAGCACGACGAGACCCAGTACATGGAGAAGGTCAAACAGGTCAGTGCGGTCAGACCGCCAGACCCTCCCCATACAACCGTCTTTTCCTAGGCGTAGGTTACTATAGGATACAGTTTGCTAGCTACCTGCACCGATCGAAAGGTGGTTGCACTTTTATAGGGTTCTTTAGGAAAAGGACTTAAAAGTTAGGAATGATAACAAATAAATTCAATAAATGTTTGTATGCATGATAAACGTTTGTTTACGTGTATAGACAAATCACTCGATGATTCTAACCAGCCATTCTTCCTTTGCAGCTAAGCAAATACATCGAACCGATCAAACGAATGATCGAAAACACCAACCATCAAGAAACGGCCAAGCTGAGCAAAATCAAAGGTCTACTGGAGATTCTGGAGAACCCGAACCGTCAGCATCCGATGGACCTGCTGATCAAGTGTGAGCACGTGCTGGAGAAGCTGGAGATAAACCAGGCCAGTGGCATGGCGCACGGCCACTCGCAGCAACAGCAGCAGCACACCACGCACAAGGAGTACCAGGTGAGGGAATAGTGAGGAAGTCTCACCTCACCTCAGGTGAGGGAGTAGAGTCGGTGGGCACCGGTGGCTACTCGGGATGGTGAGATACTGCCTCGGGCCGCTAACAGCTGGCGACTGACTGGCGTGGGTCGGGTGGTCCGAGATGGGTCGGGCTTCTAATCAGACGCGCTTCTGTCGAAGAAGAACAACAGGTGTTTCGGTTGTGTCGTGGTTCCGTCTATTTCGTCTACCGATCTATACTGCTGTCATGTGATGGGTAACTTGCTCTTTATCCTGAATCAATTGCTGCATGCGTTCCCTTTTACTTGTATTTCAAAATTACATTTGGCGACTGAGCGTAGTAATTATTGTGTGTGGCCTGACCAGTTGACCACCTCGTAAATGTACGTTCGCGATGCCTACACCAATCTCACGATTGAAATACGAAGGCTTGGTTTTGCATGCCGGTGTTGTCTCCACTTCACGTGCACCTCAATTGACCACAACTGAACTCCGCTCTCCTCAGGTGATCTTGGACACGGTGAACTGCTTCAGCAAGTCGGCGTACCTGAACCACACTCTGGGCCGCACGGTGGGCCCGCCGTACCAGGCGCTACTGGGCTGCACGCTGCGCCTGCCGCCGGCACGCCGCCTGCGGGGCCCGCCGGCCGCCGCCGACCCCATCCCCCTGCCGCTGCAGCGCGAGGTGGCCGGCATGGAGGCCAGGTTCAAGGTCAGTCAGTTGTATGGGACGAGCGCGAAACGCCCCGTGTACTGTCGGGAGTCGGACGACATACTCTATAGTCGCGTGTTCGTTGAACTGTCAGATGGTAAGTGGCAAGCATTCATGCTCGTTGCAGTCACCATTAGCGCCGTTTTCGTTTCGAGCTACACATATTTGGTGTGATTATTTGAATGTCGCGCTAGATAATTGAAAGTTTGCACTAACATTACAGTGCAGTGATGTGTGAGGGACGCCTCGCCGGCTGCTGGATGTTTGACAGCGGTCAGTGTCCGTGTGTCAGTGTGTCAGTGACGTGCCGTACTACGGCCGCAGGCGACACTGGACTCTACACGCCCTCCCCCCCCCCCCCCCATTGAGCGCCTGCTGTCCGTGTGTGACGCGCCGTGCCGCTCCCGCAGGTGACGCTGGACTCCACCTGCCCCCCTGGTGGCGGCGGCGGTGTGCGGCTGGTGGTCGAGCTGGACGAGCCGACAGCGCCGGCCGTGCCGCCCGTGCGGCTGGCCGTGCCCTCCGACTACCCGGCACGCTCGCCGCGCTGTCTGCACGACGGCCTGGCCTACTCGGGCACGCCGTTCCTGCGGCGCGTGCAGCACTACCTGCTCTCGCGGCTGGAGAAGCTGCCCGACCACTACACCGTGTCCCAGCTCCTCCACCAGTGGGAGATGAGCGTGCGACAGGCGTGCGCGCCCAGCGCCGACGCGCCGCCGACGCCGCAGCAGGCCGTCGCCGCGACCAACTAGGCGCGACGGTGCAGCGGGGGCCACGGCGACGGCGTGCGGACTGTCAGTGAAACTAGCTGTCGGTGGCGGCGCGTCCGACAGTTATCGGCAATGTGCATATTCCGGTGGTTTGTGTAAAATAACGGCATCAAAACATGCCGTGGTCTCAATGTATTTTCCTGTCGATATTTCCCAAGGGATGCTATGGGATTGGAGCGTATAGTGAATTTAATAAATGTTGTTTATAACTGCTTTGTTGTGGCAATCACCTGTCAGACAGTTGGGAAAAATTGCAATCTAATTCACCCCTCTCAGCCTCTCCAATGGCAATGCGATACGCTGCTAAGCTTGAACCATCCTGCATCAGGCTACAGAGGGCGATTTGGAGATGAAATGTCTATATTGTAGAGATCACATTCACTTGAGTGACATGAGTCACATGACAGTGACGGCGTGATAATGTACACATTTGCAGTAAAGGGCCCAGGAGGACCTTCCGAGAGGTAAAACCGTAACACACGAAATGGAGCGGATACAATCATCATTCATTGATTATCACATTGTTGATTCAACAAGAAGGACGCAAGATAATCACAGTGGCATTCTGGTTGACACCACCAGAATGACCAGAAGACTGGTCCCCTTCCCTGTGCGCCATACATTCACAATGATGCAGTTACATATACATAGTCATACACCACACAAGACCAATGGAAGACGGCCAAACGCTACCGGTGAGTGTAGGCTACGATACACTCCAAACTCATTCCAACGTTCGGACACAGCCCGAGATCCTGATAAGTCACGGACACATGAGAACACCTGATTCCACTTCCATTGGGGAATTAAATAATTACATAACAATCACGTCGCGAATACGATCACATGGCTATCGATAGATCACATGACGATCGTCAGCACGATGGTCTAGGCACTCAGCACAGCCGAAAGTGCGGCAGAACCCTTCATGTCGCCAAGAGGGCCAGCCGCCGCCCACCACGGGTCCCCGACACGTGGGAAGGAGTTACACGGACCGATTGAGGGTCAAATGCCCTCAACCAGTGTTGCCCTCAAACGTCCGACGTATGTACCAGACACTCGGACAATCAACACGGAGCAACGGCTCAGGCACCGTTCACAACGAGCAGAGGAGTATGAAAAGCTCGGATTCATGGACTTCGTAAAATTACGCTTGAACTGTCCCAAAAGAATTAATTCTTCCATTAAGTTCATCTAAAATATGAACCGGAAGTTCCAACTGGAAACGCAAATAAAACGTTTATAAAAGTCGCGTAACAACTCGTCAACAATCAACATTGATGTGTGCTACAATGACATTCATGAAATGTTATGGCACATTGATTGCTGGCCTGAATCTAAGGACGTAAAAATGCAGGGGTGACGTAATAAAGTGAACTATTTCACGGTTACATGAATTATAACAAGATTGTCTTCCTAAAAAGATTTCATGCAATACACCTGAAACTATACAAAGCAGTACATAAGTTACCCTGTGCATAATCAGGACTAATGGGCTGACGCTAATTGGACAAAAAATATACTGTCATTGATGATCGACTTGTTCTTGAATTCAAGAACACAAAAACGTCAATCCTGTCGATAAAGGCAGGCAGCTGTCTGACAAAGCACGTAGGCCCTCAGACAGCTGCCAAACATTGGTGGGTCCCCGGACAGCTGTTGGGATTGAGCGCAACTAGATAGCTGCTGGACAGGGTCATCAGCTGACAGCTGTATTAGAGAGAGTGCCTATACTTCTAGCTGACAACAGCACTGTAGACGGTAGGGCTGTAGAGTTTGCAGCATCTACTCGGCACTGCTGACGGAGATGATTTCCTCCAGCCGACTCACAACTGTCCAGCGGAGGGTGTCCGTTCGTCTACCCGACGTCTGTCTGCCGGTACAGCTGGTTGGCCCCCCGGATCGGCAGCGGGTGCGCCTCCGTGTTGAACACCCACTGGTCCAGCGAGAGAAGCTCCGAGTCGCTGAACAACAGGTACAGGTACTGTCGGACATATGTAAAGACAGACAGTGTTAGATCGTTGTGACTCTGGACATAGTTCGTGGGGCATTGGAATAAAACGCAGGTTTTGGTTGCATGTTTAATGCATGCTCTGAAATCATATATAACTATTGAATACCTAGTTTTTCTTTTCACATATTAGGATTCCTGAATGCAATATGCAATGCAAACACTTCTGTTGTGACTGGTTAGTGGTTATGACAAATAACAAACTCAATTTTATGGCCAGGCTCGTCAAAAGAGTTGGCGGTCTTTCCTGCAGCACGCATAAAGCGTGTATCTCTTTTCACACGAACAAATCACGCTCCGTTGGTTCATCGCGTCCCACTACACACACATGCGGCATTCCCCCGCTATGCTACCGCTCACGGTGCTTAGGGGTGGAGTTGAAGGCACGTACATTTTGTTTGATTTGTAGAGCCGTGTTCAAAACATTTACACCTCCTTTGCGAAAATGATTCGAACTAGAAAAACTCCCAGCTACAGAACAGCCATTTCCGGCTCTAGAGGACTAACAATATTTCTAAGAGCATTCGAATACAAACAGCGGCTATTCATTCATTTACTTTTCATTATGATGGGTAATAATGTTGCAAAGCACTCACCCACAACCATTATCAGAGTATAAGAGCTAGAGAGGGCAGGTCCTCATAGTTATCAACGACATTTTACCTTGAGCGTCTCGGCCAAAAAGAAGCTCTGCTGCACGTCGTCATGTTCAGGCCACAGCGAGTCGACGTCCTTGATTCCCGAGAACCCCGCCTCGACTCGACAAAACTGCTCGATAGCCTGCTTAACAGCGAAGAATAAGAAAAGCGTGAGCAGTCGTTAGACCGCAACAAAACTGATACACCAAAGGAACAGACCGGATAGGCTGTGGTATCCACCTCCGGGCTCCGGTCCAGCCCAAGCTCGTGATAAATGTTTCAAATGGACTAGGCTGTGCTGGATGGAAATCTAACTTAGATCGAACAGACCATGTTTTACCAAAAATGTAGACAATTCAGTTATTCACGGTTCCCACCATTAGAACAAGCAAGTCGGGCTCGGGTCGGAGTTTGAAGTCTCATTATCGTACATACCTGAGCCGCCTGCCACCCCCAGTCTCGGTACTTGGGGTCGCCCGTGAGCCGCCACAGTACGAAGTAGCTCTCGATGACCTCCGGCCGCAGGATGTAGTACTTTTCCTGCTGCAGCAGTGGACGCGCCTCCACCTGATCGGTGAACCTGTCGGCGCGTTAAAACTGTCAGCGCCGTTCTAGATGATAGGCGAGCACTGATTACCATGACATCTATCAGAAACTATGCATGATATTTGTCAGGTTTCTTCTCTGATATCTGTTGAGAATATTCAGGTTCAATAACATTCCAATGGTGCATCAAGATATCAAATTAACCATAGCACAGGTCTGATTACTTTGAAAATTACTAACAGTCAAATGTGGCTTCAAGCCAACGTCAGCAGGAAAATAAGGGCAAGCTCTATATGAGGATCTAGCGTGCCCGGTGACTGTTTTCATATGCCTTTGCAACCCATTTTCTAGTTCCAATTTTGCAAACAACGTCCTGCTAGCAGTTTCACTCTAACAGCCAGGAAGGGATGGACAATAAACGAGTCACGTTTTGTAAGTACCGGAAGCTCTCGGGTCCCAGTTTGGTGGCGGTGCGGTCATAGGACTCGTGACACGTGGCCGTGATCTGTCGGCCCAGCTCCAGGTACCGATCCGTGTCTGCCTCCGGGTCCTTGGCCGCAGCCAGAGCGTACAGCCCGCCTGTGAATGACACTTCGTCATTGCAGATCATTGTCTCGGTCCCTGGCCGTCGCCAGCGCATGCAGGCCACATGTAAGCGACACTTGTTCCTGGCTGCCGCTAGAGCGTACAAGCCGTCTGGGAACCAGAATCATCAGAAACCGAATGAACCGGGTCTATAGCATCAGCCAGAGTGTACATATAACGAGGGGAACGAAATATACAATAATCATAAAATCCATGTCGAATTTGGACGAGTTCAATAATAACACTACAAACAAGCACAGGTGTTTGGAGAATACACATGAGGAAACCGTAAAAGGATACGCGAGCTTCTTAGGTGAAACGAGATGGGAACTGCATCAGCTGGTCACTGAAATATGTTATTTGTAACCGTGTTGCTAGTTAACTTTTCATCAGTTCACTCAAAATAGTCCGTCATATTGATAAAGGGCATAAGATGGAGACAAATTCGTTAAAATGCACAAAACAGGGCGGCACGCGCCTATGAAGCAGGCCAGGTGGTCCATCTTGTAGCTGAGTCGTTCGCGGTGCATCTCGGCCACGAAGGTGAGGCCCGACTGGTCGGAGGTCTTCACCAGACGGTCGGTGATGTTACCCATGGCCAGCTGGAACATCCGCAGCGCCTGCCGGTCGTCGCCGCCGGAGCGGAGCCACTCCTTGAGCAGGTACTCGTAGAACGAGTCGCCCAGCGCGCCCACAGACGTGTGGTCTGTGAACAGGTGAGGGGAGGCGGGATAAATAGGGCAGACTGTGAGGTCAAACCAAACACCGGAGTAGGACACAACAGCACCACATCGCATACACTTTACAGAATGGCGGCGATGAGCACTCAGTTCATAAGTAGGTGACTGAATACAGCCACTCCTCTCAACTATGTCCGACTTAGACACTGGATACTGACGCTTCATTTGACTTCCCAAATCTTAACTTCAATCTAGTGGTGCCCAACATACGCTATAGGCAATAAACATTGCAGCAACTCGATATGCATATAGGCCGGTGCGGCTACTCACGCTGTCCCCAGTCGCCGGTGACCGGGTGGAGGTAGTTGGGAAACAGTCCGCCCGGGGTGTCCATCCGCGCCAGCTGGTCGCGCACGCGGTGCACCTTCTCCCTGAACACGGGCTGCCCGGTGACGTCCGAGAGATAGCTGAACTCCATGTGGAGCGTACCGAATTCAGAGAGAATCGAGCCGCCCATCGAGGCCCAGCCGTAGTTCTTGGCGCGCTGTCAGAACACACAAAAGTGGGGCATTCATACGGACAGGCACGGTAGGCGGAAGGAAACGGTACGTGTGTACACAGGGCAGAGAGTAAGATCCTCTTCGTTTGATGGACTTCATGCTGCTCAGTGCCCACCAAGCCTGAGGCTCACATCAGCCAAAATTCACTTGAACTGAGTCCAAATAATTGGTCCTGTTGAGTGATGTATAGACAAATAGATATATATTGAGTAGGAAAAACATACAGCACATGGGTGGACGCGTTTCGTCAGAGACTTTTTCAACACCCGAATATCGACAAAACAATACGAACACACAAGAACCAGGGCTGTCTCATCCCTATCTCCGTAACGTGTCGTGTGCGACCAATGACGTCACGGCATTGCGGCGTTCTGATTGGGCGGCAGCTCTGAATCGCCCGACTGGTGGTCCCCGCTCGACAAGCGCACGTGCGCCGACTAGACATTTGTAGTGGCATTGACGGCAGAAAAAGTGAGGTAATGCAGAGCTCTGAATATACTTGAATAGAGTCTAAGCCGTTAGTAATACGTAAAAACGTCAGATAGGTTTCTTGTTCGTCTTGATTTGAGCTTTTATGTGATATAACTTTTACCTTAGTGTCGAGGTTGGCAGCTATGTGGGAGAGCCCTAAAGTTGGGTCATTTTCCATAGGATTGCATTACAGCCGTCCGACCCTTCGTACCTGTGACGTCACGGAAATCGCTGCTTCGGCCTAATGAGCATACCCTCTATATAGGGCCTTGCACAAGAACAAAGCTAGCAAGCACAGTTTCATACCTGTTGATATATCGCGTGTACATATTATGAGAATGTGCCTAAATGCAAATACACTTCCAATACTGCGCGTCAGTTAAATGGCAAAGAAAGAGAGAATACATATATAAGACAATTCATGTTGACAGTATCTGTTTTTCTATTTAACATTTATTTTATAATCTGAGTACAATATACGGCCGCAGATTTTGCCCATTTTATAAACCCAACCCGTGTATTGATCGTTTCGTTCGTTGCAATGTATGCCGCTTCCGTCGCCTTTCTACTCCCCTTGCTTTTGCACTTCGCTATCACTTTCGCCCCTCCCCAATTCGGTAAATGATTCGTTGAGTGAGCATGAATATATATTACTGAACGGCTCTGGGAAAGAAAAATGGAAACCGAGGTCTTTAAAAAATTGTAGGCACGAGGCGTAGCCGAGTGCCGGAGATTTTTTGAAGACCGAGGTTTCCATTTTTCTTCCCAGAGCAAGTTCAGTAAGATATTTCCCATACGTCGTTTAATATCTATTCAGAAACTCACAATTTAATTATTAAAATCACCTTTTTTAAGATTTTTATCAAAAAATCACCAGAACTGTAGGTCATCAACCCGTGCCGGAAAACAGTGCAGGAAAGATCACGTACAAATGTTTCCCGCACGGCTAGGATAATGCTAAAGGGATATCTCGGCGTATGGGAAAGATCACGTGCAAATGTTTCCCGCACGGCTAGGATAATGCTAAAGGGATATATCGGCGTATGGGAAGCACGAATGCACTGTGTTCCATGTCGTTTCTTACATCTCTCCCATGTTCCTTTAATCTTTTGTCCATGCCTCTACCTGTTTCACCTATATATGACTTTTCACAATGCCCACAGGGTACCTGATATACAACGCTAAGATCTACATTCTTACTTATTTTCTTTTGCGTGATCTCTCCTATTTTTCTGCCAGAAGTCAATGCGACTTTGACGCCTGTCGTTTCAAGTTCTTTCGCGATGTTTTCGGCTGCTTTTGAGTTCGGTAATGAAATATATCTTATGTCGTTCTTTCGTTTCGCTTCAGCTTTTGCTCTGTTTCGAATGTTCAACGCTTTTTTCTTGAGACGAATGAGATAGCCTTTGGGATATTTAAGCTTCATGAAACTGGAAAAGATGTGCTCAATTTCTTCAGCAAGATACTCCTCACTACAAATACGAAAAGCCCTTAAGAAAAAGCCCAATACCACCCCACTTTTCACTCTATCACTATGACCGGAAAAGAAATGAACATAATCTTCCCGGTTTGTAGGCTTACGATATACTTTGAATTTTGCACGACTATCGCTTCGGACTACTTCCGTATCTAAGAAAGCAATGGAACCTCCCTTTTCTGTTTCCACAGTAAACTGAATCTTCGGGTCGACTGCGTTGAGTTCGTTGACTTTGGCGTTCAAATCGATCGTTTTTGGTACTACTACCAGCACGTCATCGACGTATCGTACCCACAGAACATTGTCCCCCATAATATTTTGGTACCTGTTTTGTTCCAGCCATTCCAAATACAGGCACGCTGCTACTGGACTCAAGGGTGAACCCATTGCCAGCCCGCTGTGTTGGCTGTAATCATCCGACTCAAATACAAAACCCCCAAATTTCATACACATTGACACAAGCTTAAAGTAGTCAGACTTTGCGAGCGGCAACTGGTTCGCATCGATCTTATCAACTACATCTTTGATCACTTTTAGGGCGTCGTCTACGGGTACATTCGTGAACAGTGATTTTACATCAAGACTAGCCATGTACTTATCTGTGAAGTCGAAGTCTTTATGTCGTTCAATTAAGTCGTTGCTGTTCCGTAGGTGTGCATCACTGATGGCACCCAGACTATTCGATAAGGGCTTTGCCAGTACTTTTGCGAGTCGATGTGGCGCGCTGCCGATTCCTGACGTAATGGGCCGTAGTGGGATGCCGTCCTTGTGGAGTTTTGGAAGTCCACGCATCTTTGGAGTTTCCGGTGATTCTTCTAAAAGATGCAATAGCTGTTTTAGAAGAATCACCGGAAACATTAAAACATTCATTACCGAACTCAAAAGCAGCCGAAAACATCGCGAAAGAACTTGAAACGACAGGCGTCAAAGTCGCATTGACTTCTGGCAGAAAAATAGGAGAGATCACGCAAAAGAAAATAAGTAAGAATGTAGATCTTAGCGTTGTATATCAGGTACCCTGTGGGCATTGTGAAAAGTCATATATAGGTGAAACAGGTAGAGGCATGGACAAAAGATTAAAGGAACATAGGAGAGATGTAAGAATATATATTACTGAACGGCTCTGGGAAAGAAAAATGGAAACCGAGGTCTTTAAAAAATTGTAGGCACGAGGCGTAGCCGAGTGCCGGAGATTTTTTGAAGACCGAGGTTTCCATTTTTCTTCCCAGAGCAAGTTCAGTAAGATATTTCCCATACGTCGTTTAATATCTATTCAGAAACTCACAATTTAATTATTGAAATCACCTTTTTTAAGATTTTTATCAAAAAATCACCAGAACTGTAGGTCATCAACCCGTGCCCGAAAACAGTGCAGGAAAGATCACGTGCAAATGTTTCCCGCACGGCTAGGATAATGCTAAAGGGATATCTCGGCGTATGGGAAACGACATGGAACACAGTGCAATTGCATTCGTGCTTCCCATACGCCGATATATCCCTTTAGCATTATCCTAGCCGTGCGGGAAACATTTGCACGTGATCTTTCCTGCACTGTTTTCCGGCACGGGTTGATGACCTACAGTTCTGGTGATTTTTTGATAAAAATCTTAAAAAATGTGATTTCAATAATTAAATTGTGAGTTTCTGAATAGATATTAAACGACGCATGGGAAATATCTTACTGAACTTGCTCTGGGAAGAAAAATGGAAACCTCGGTCTTCAAAAAATCTCCGGCACTCGGCTACGCCTCGTGCCTACAATTTTTTAAAGACCTCGGTTTCCATTTTTCTTTCCCAGAGCCGTTCAGTAATATATATTCATGCTCACTCAACGAATCATTTACCGAATTGGGGAGGGGCGAAAGTGATAGCGAAGTGCAAAAGCAAGGGGAGTAGAAAGGCGACGGAAGCGGCATACATTGCAACGAACGAAACGATCAATACACGGGTTGGGTTTATAAAATGGGCAAAATCTGCGGCCGTATATTGTACTCAGATTATAAAATAAATGTTAAATAGAAAAACAGATACTGTCAACATGAATTGTCTTATATATGTATTCTCTCTTTCTTTGCCATTTAACTGACGCGCAGTATTGGAAGTGTATTTGCATTTAGGCACATTCTCATAATATGTACACGCGATATATCAACAGGTATGAAACTGTGCTTGCTAGCTTTGTTCTTGTGTGTTCGTATTGTTTTGTCGATATTCGGGTGTTGAAAAAGTCTCTGACGAAACGCGTCCACCCATGTGCTGTATGTTTTTCCTACTCAATATATATCAATTGGTCCTGTGTTCACCGGTTCTATAACTACAATGAGTCACTTTATCGATCAGAAGCCTGAGTCACTTCTAGCTGCTACCAAACCATTTCTTAGGTAAATCAGGCTATAATTTAAGTCCTAGGCAGTAGGCGGGCAACCTAAGTGTCGTAGGTCACGACTTACCCCGGTGGCGGGCACCACCATGGCGTACGGTATGCCGGTGGGGGTGTCGAACGCCGGCAGCAGAGCGCGCGCAGTCTCCTCCGCCTTGTCTCTGAACAGCGCGTCTCCGGTGAGCGCGAAGCACGCGAGCAGGCCGCCCACGTAACGAATGTTCACCTCGAACACAGAAACCTCGGAGGTCTGGTGGACGGATGTCGAGTCATCGACAGAACGACAGGACAACCGTCGGTCCAGGAGATCGGTATGGTACGCAGATCAATGACCATCGTTCCTTGGTTCAAATAAATGGTCAATCATCATGAGCTGATATAACGGTCTTAGCTCGGTACACTGGCACAGCAACTTACATCCTTTGCAAATGATCGCCTCTTATATTGCGCAAATCGTTAAATACACCTTTTTGCACTCAAAATAGGCATCTTTTCATTCAATTTCGGCGAATTGCATTCAATTTTAGCGATCTCTCATTTGCTTCGAATAGAGAGATCGCTAAAATTGAATGCAATTCGCCGAAATTGAATGAAAAGATGCCTATTTTGAGTGCAAAAAGGTGTACTACAATCACAAACATCGTTTTAAAACTGAGCAAAAAGTGAGCACCACCACCAAAATCTGTTTAGATGATATAACAACATCACTCACCACGTGCGCCAGGTCGAGTTTCTGTTTGACCCAGAGTCGCGCCTCGCTGAACTCCTCCTCCAGGCCCATGATGAGTAGGGTGTCCAGGGCGTCCACGATGGTGGCGCCCATGGCCTGGCGGCCGAATATGCCGGCCGAGCGGCCGCGCCGGCTCACCGGTCGCAGCTCGTCCTCACCCCACGCGTACGTCACGTACCCCTTCCAGGCGTGACGCATCATCTGTGGCAACAGGCGCGCGGTTAGCTGCCCGCAGATGACGGTTCTTATCGGGCATCGCCTAACGAGTGACACAATGAGAGAAAAAAGAACTTCATGTATAGCGCATTGCACTGATGCGCCAGGCCGGTGCTCGGTGACACCTAAACCTTCGCCAGGCCGGGGGAAGCGTTTGAACACCCACCTTTGTTTAACTCGGCTCGTAGCGCCACGTAGCGATGCGCGGTAAGCGGCGTTCGAAAGAACGCCAAAAAAATCCTGAAGGAAGCTCTTCAGTAAATTTTTACATCATGTTAAAGGTCAGGTCACCAGATGTTATCAAAGGTCAAATTTCACCTATCAACACTTTTTGACAAATCAGAACGTCAATAACCTTTCTGATATGGACCTTTAAATAATGTTGTGAACGAACTTCTTCATACTTCTTATTTTTATCAAATAGTCAGAAAAGCCTCGGTTTCCAGTCTGTTTATTAGCGTAGCCATGTAAGCACGACACGAAACAAACACTCTCTCAGCGTGGTACGACAGTCAGCTGTTGCGATATTGTGACAACTACACTACGCCAGATACGTTAGTACTTGATTATCTCGTGAGTTCCTCTCGCTAATCCCGCTCCGCTGTTGGACTCGGTCAATCAGTCCCGGTGTGCGTTGCCACTACGGCATGCGTCTACATAACTCCTGCAGTCGTCTCCGCGGAGGACGGCGTGTGGTGTATCTCCGTCTGCGTGGCGGCGTCACAGAGAGTCAGCCGCACCCGGTGACCGCTCGTGACGCGGCACTGCTCACAGCGCCAGACAGCCGACTTCCCGCGACCTTCCTCAGTGAGGTCCCAAGGTATTGGTGAGCTGGATGGCTGACGGCGTCTCGTCGGTCTGGTTCGATACAGCAACAGCTCCCCTCCAAGTACGATCAGGCTGGCAGCTATCCCCAGAGGCACCAGACACAGGACGGGCATCAGGTCGCGGAAAGATAGCACTTGATAATGCTTGAGGGACTCACAACTGCTCTGGCTAGGCTCTCGGATCGAGTTTTTCAGTCGGGACAACAAGCCTCCCTCAAACAGTCTCAGGATCGTTTTGGAGATGGCTGACCTGAGAGCGTTCCTTTCTTTCGAGATCACGAAATGGTATGAGACAGACCTGAGTGATGCACGATTCAACGGGACAATGCTGCAAGATTCCTTTCCAAACATTTGGTGCAGAGTGTTCAACTCTAAATATATCATAACTTTTTGTTTGAATGCCCGGAGTATATCTTCTTTCGTGTTTTCTAAGGCGATGAACCTGTCGCCGGTAATCGATCGTCGGTAAAGCTCCTGTTCGTATACGTCAGTGCTGGATCTTAGATAGTTCAGAATTGACGAGCCAGAGGGCACAGCCAGCGTCCAGTCGGGTTGTTGGACGAACTCACGCAGGCTGCTGATGGGCTGACGGCCCGTGTCCACGGTCAGGAACGACATCAGGTTGGCCGTGTAGTTGATGTAGATCAGGATTCCCATCACCCAGCCGAACATGGTTGCGGTACGGCCGGCCAGCGACTGCGGCGTCCTGCTCCAGCCCTGGCCCACCACGGTCATCGCGCCGGCCAGAAGACACGAGCCCCAGCCCATGTCGCGAGCTAGCTGGCCGTCCTCGGCTCTGGCGCTGTTGAACCGCAGCGAAAGGCGCAGCACCAGCGAGAGCGCCAGTAGCGCGGCGGCCAGCGCCCACCAGACGTCAGCGCCCAGCGGCCGCAGCAGGCCGGAGAACATTGCCAGCGACAGCCGCGGCGTCACCGTCGTGTCACGTCGCACCATGAAGCCGGTAGTCGCAGACGCGATGGGCACCCCGTCCAAAAAGTCGACCACCGCGGCACGACTGGGGGTGGGCATCATCGTGGTGACCGCCAGGTCAGCGCGCCCGTAGGCCAGGTCTCCAATAACCCCTGTCCAGGTGCCGTTTGTGGTTTGACTGCCGTAGCCGCTGGTAAGCGGAGCCGAGATGTTGTAGCTGAGTCCCAACTCCTCGGCTACGATCTGCCACAGCTGGAAGAGATAGCCGCTGTAGGCGACCGTGCCGTCCGGCCGCTGCTCCATGGAGATGTACGGGAGGTCGTTGATGGCAACGACGCGCAGTGGCCGGTCCGGCGTCCCGGCGGACCATTGGGGTCCCGGTCCGGCGGACCAGCCCGGTCCCAGCAGGACCAGACCTCCACGACGCTCCGCCATCCTCGCACCCCTGACAGACACTCCTGAGCGAGTGTGGTGCCATTGGATCATCAAAAGACCACCGCTGCACCTAATCGATATGGTTGATGATTACATGTTGGGCACGCTCGGTAGTCATGATCCTTTGGGCGCCTTTAATGCCTATTCACCACGCTAGGCAATACTATAATAACTAAGTAGGCAAGCTGAAGAATTCGTTACCCGTACCAAGCAAAGCCAGCAAAAAAAAAAAGAACGCTACACGGAACACTTATAATAACTCATGCGATCGGATCCATTACTCATCGCAACTCATCATCTACCTTCCATGTTTATCATATATTCAACTGCATATAACCCAATCATTGGTTGCTACAGTACAGTCAAAGGCAGAGGTAAAATAACACCTTCTACTGGCGCAGTCAAAGTTCGTGGATGCGAATAACAAGCAATTTTAATTTGTTAGAAGCAAGTTTTAATTTGCACATGCTTCCTTTCGTAAAAGCCGTGGTGTGTCCAGGAAGAGACAATTTTGGGTACCAGTCGCTGCGTCTCGTTACGGCGCACAGTCGCTTATACGCAAAATTCTAGCTGCATTAGAGGCGAGACGGTCACATCTCCTTGGTGTCGTATCCACGGTTCCACCTCGATAAATCCAGGGCGATTTAAGCCAATAAAAGTCCCAAAATCGTCCATTATCTTTATCACGCCCTATCACATATCAGTTATTGTTTATAAAACAACAACACGAACGGCCACCGCGCACACGACGGTTGCTCCTTACCTCTTTGATTTTGCGGCGTCTGAAGCGCATCACGGGGTCGGGGTCCTCGCCGCCCGAGATGACCGGATGTAGTGGATCGGGGGGCACCGGAGCCACTGAGCCGCCCGAGGCCGGTACCGCCGCCTCCTGCGCCTTGCTGTAGAGCCGGCGCCGGTCCTCGGCCGCCCCGGGCCGTCCGCGGGCCGGGGGCGGCACCGGCAGCAGCAGGTCACCGCCCACGTCACCCACGCGCTTCTGCACGCGCTTCAGGCGCTCCAGCCGCCACAGTCCCTCTCCCAGATCGGGCAGGTAGAATATTGTACCGAAGCAGATCAGTGCGAATGTGCCCAGAACCAACAGGAGTAGGTTTCTTTCCCTGCATTTGCATCTTGACCGAGGCGGACTTGATGGGACAGATCGCTTTATGAATCTTGGTAATATTGCACCCGCAGCTTCTATCTTCATTATCAAACAATTGGCACTGCACAGAAAACGTCTGCACCACTCACTGATCAAATACCTAAATCAAGAAGATTGCTTTAAAACTAGTAGGCATTTACGTTTTCATTACAAGAAAACACACTTAAAGTTTTCATACAATTGCTGATGATTCCATTGAAGGCTTCACCAGCTATCTTCTTGGGATAGACTTGGTTAAAAATGAGCCGCGTCAGTGAAGACGATAATCTGGAACAAATACACATTAACCCTCGCCCGTAAACGGCGATCTGCCACCTTCGCCCATGCAGGGGGGGGGGGGGTTGGTGCGACCCCCCCCCCCTTGGCGTTTGAAAACGGAGCGTCGTAGAGCTTAGCGGAAAAGACCAACGGATTGCTCTCGCCGAGATCTCGCGATTGGTGGTATATTTTTTGGTCCTAGGTCAACATTTGACCTACTTTTGACCGGTCAAAGGTCAAATTTTCGGAAAAATACTTTTTCAACTTTCCGCGGCGATTGCGGCAAAACGGTGGGAGATATCGACTTGAAACCTTCACTATCGTGTTCCTTGATCAATTCTCTATCGTTTGGTATGTATTTCGTTTCCCTAGCTCTAAAAATGGCGCGTTGGGAGCGCCGGAAGTCGGCAAGGTCACAGTCGGCGGCAGAAATTCGAAAAATCAAAATTTAAATTTTTGAAATCTGATTGTATTTTTGGATTTGGAAGGTCCATTTGCTCCCTATAGAAGCTAATATTGCTGCATATTCCCATTGAGGTGACAAGAATTAGCAAAATAGTGGTTCGGGCGCTTTTCAAAAATAGTACCGGACGCTGTTCCTCTTGTGACGTCATAGCTCCGTGACCTGACCTGACCCGGTCAAGTTTCTTATACCATATGATAGCCAATACTTGCCCCAACATGCATGGGAAGTTTCATCACGATCCATCAACCGATGTCCGTACCACTGGCAGGAAACCTCGGGCGTTGGCACTCAGTTTGTGAAAATCCGGCCGGAGGCTGTTCCCTTTGTGACGTCATAACTCCGTGACCTGACATGACCTGGTCAAATTTTTTTATCAAAAGATGCGCAAGGTTTGCCCCATAAGGTACCCAAAATTTGGCGGCGCTGCGCGCCGCCGTTTTTGCACTATTTCCGAAAAACCTCAGGGGGGGTTGCACCAACCCCCCCCCCCCCTACATGGGCGAGGGTTAAGTTGATGCGAGTACCACTTAACTGAGCAGATAAGGCAGCTGTGGCTGATGGAATGACCATGAGATTTGACGAGTTCGCAGTGGTTACAAGACACTTGCTGTCATGTTATACTTACCTCGCACCATTTCTCAAATCAGCACAAATCAAGAATTTATCATGTATGACAAGCTATTGAGGTCAAACTCCAATTCCCCGGAGATGAGTTCATTCAAATTGGTGATGTTTCTTCCACCTTGACCTCGAGGGCCACCTGACGTTTTTTATGCAGCCAAGGAGCCAAATGAGAGGCCAGAGTGAAAAGCGCTCCCTCATCTCAAAACACCACTTTGTCGCTAGTACGTGCTTAGCTGATTACCACTGTAACCACGAAATAATTCAGCCAAAACGACACCATTTTTAGCAAGCTTACCATAAAAACATAGCACATACAATGTCATTGGGGAGTTTTGCATGATATTTGGCCTGTGTGGTGCTACAGCTAGTTACAGCTCACGACTGCACTCACGGGCGGTCACCGCCTTCATGGATGGCATTAGAAATGCATGATTTCATTACCAGCGGTGCGGCGTTTCGAACACCGCTATTGCTTCTGCAGGGCACTAGGTGACTAGGGTAGGTAATATTCAGGCTAGCATACCAATAAGTGACTAAGATTGATTGATTCTGATCTATTGCGTAAGCGTAAAGCGGTAGCTAGAGACATAAATTGAATGACGTAATCTTCTGGATGTGCCAGCGAAATGCCTTCTGGTAGTCAATAGTCATGTATGATAAAATGATTAGCGCAACCTAGTTACGTGGTTCTGACTTTTAGCATCCACGAAGAGTTTCCTCAACATAATCAGAACGGATTCGAAAAAAAAACATTGCTTAGCGAGACAACGTATCCAGACAACGATAACAGTGCGCAACGGCTGGACAGTGGACAGGATAATGAAATTAAAACGCATGTGTCATGCACCGGAAGCATTGTTATTGATATATGGGTCATTCCGCGTCAAATCGATTAGGATTTGGTACTTTCGACCCCGACCGTAATTTAAAACTACTCAGTTTGGCCTAGTCGGGTCGAAGGTCAATGAAGGGTCACTGAGAAATGCAAAATATTTATATAAATTGGAGCATTTTCCTTTCTAATAGTTCTTACCACAGCCTCCCCAGACTCAGAATTACACAGCAATGGGCATTTTAATCCTGCAATGAATGCTCTTTAACAGCATTGACCTTTCATGACCTATAACTCTGACCTCAAAGATCACCCAGGTTTAAAACTTGCTAGATTGAGATGCATTTGTTTTTATATGTGCTAAAAGCCTACCAAATTTTAACAAAATCAAAAAGGGTTGATTAAAATCAGAAATCTTCATCGATTTGACGTGGAATGACCCAGAGGCCAATTGTCAGCCAATAGCATGCAGTTGCCATGGGCATGAACTATGCATTACATAATATGATTGGTCAATGCTTAATCAGCTTCTGTTGCAAAGCCAAAACCCATGTGGCCTGTACCAAAGATGGAAAATAGTTCTTCCTATATGAGAGTTGAAGTAGGTATCTTAAAATTCATTTTGTAAATATTCACTATTTTCTTTTCAGATCATTTTGGGCATGAAAAAATCATAAAATTGTAGATCTGAGGAAAGTGGTAGATAGCTGTATTCCCTTAAACCAGTGGTCAGCAGGTCATTCGGGGTTGTGCCCCCTTTTTAGGCGCCAGGCAGGGCCACTAGACCCACCTACCAGACCCCATTGCTGACATAACCAAGTTTACTGAAATTCCATACCTTTCTGGAACTCTGGGTATTTCTGCATTTCCGATGCATCAAATTTAAAACATGACACTTCCTCCACAAAACATTTAATAAATCCCATTTAACCCTCGTACATATAGGCGTGGCGGGTGGTTTTTCAACATAAAAGCCGTTGGATCACGACCAAATTGTACCCTCGAGCCTACCATTTTTTTCTGACCTGCCCGGGAAAACCTGAGGCCAGTTTTACCAACAGAAAAATCTGCTGGAGTTTTTGCCTAAAAATCACTTCATATATGCAGCGTAAGCGAGATGAGAATGTTAGTGGGTAGGGGGATAGGGCTTTACCATTTACGCTCCATTTGTGAAGCAGTCTTAAGGCGAAAAAAATTCCGGCAGGAGCTATTTTTCTGTCGGTAAAACTGGCCTCTGGAGTTCAGCGCATAATGATCATTGGCTGACAGCTCCATCTCAGAGTCCGAGAGGCCGCAGCCCGCGGGGGTCCGATCAACTCCTCCCCCTTATGTTAGTGGCTGTGGAAACGCCAACAGACGGGCGACGGTTAAAAATTGCAGCTGCTTTTGTACGACTGTGCGGAGCCATGGTGAGATGGTGAGGCGAGCAGCTACATGAAAATTGGTATCTAATCAATGTGTGCTGTGCCTTTGACCTGGGCTAATCTTTGAACTCTGGGATGCAACAGTCACGATGGTTCCATCAATGGTATGGTATCAGCCACACAAAAAAGGTGTGAAGCAGAATGTAATCCAGCATGACGCTTTGCCAACACAATCAGTGGACGTGATAATGTTTTGAGTGGTTGGTTGAAGTTGATCTTTTGGAAGCATCTTTGAAATTAAAATACTGACACCTAGCCATTGATCTAATGGTACAGCTTAAACTAGCCTGAGATCAACTGAACCTTTTGATTGATAGATAATCACAATGTTGAAAGATAAATGATAAATCAACACTTAAATTCAAGTTCAACAAAGTTGAAAGTTGGTTAAAAGTACAGCTCTTTCATGAATCAATGGAATTGGATTGTTCAGTGTGGATTACACAGTCTTGTTCATGCCAATACACCGATCTATTCTTCTCACGTTTCCTACCAAGCGGTAAGATGACCCATGTGCATCTTATTTCATCTAATTCCTATCAGAAAATTCCTTTTATAAATCAAAATATCATTAATAATAAAAATGAAAACACACCCCCGAACCTCCTCTCTGCACACACACTTATGAATTGTAATATTTTGTCTCAGCTGCGTCATAGTTATACATCCTGTTTTGGGTAGTTTGGCAGCTGCCTAACACTGACGTCACAAGATTTAAAGGGAAATGAAAGAAAAAAGGGAAAAAGGGAAGTATTCCAATTTCCAATCATTCATCATAGCTCAGTCGGTAACTGATTTACTTAGACATCTTATAGCTATAGCAAGCCGATACGCTGTGTCTATCGTGAAAGCATTATTGTATTCTTTGGACAATGCGGCATTGGTACCTATAGTCTATACAAGACAAAAGCAAGAACTCTTCAGAGTTCAGAGTTCGTTCCACATTTAGGACGAAAACAACAACACGTATTGGATCACAATTGGCAAGCTACAAGTTCATGAGACAAGACGCCTAATAAAACAGCTGAGACATGCTACAGCAGTCTCCACATTCCTCAGATATCGTAATGAGATGCCTACTGCCAGCTAGATACCGTGCACTATCACACTGCCAATCTCACTTATTGAATCTTATGGATGATAGACCATCTGTAGGAATATTGGTTTTGTTCATGGTATTCCTCATATTGATTTAGCAGGTAGCACTATGACTCAGTTTAGCAGTCCAGTACAAATGTGTTTCAACACACTGCAATCGAGTCCGTCACACCGATCTCGAGTTTCGAACGGGCGACTTGTCGCGCGGTTCGGTGGCGAGCTCGGGGGAGAGGGTCACTCCGTCTGCGGCTCGCCAGCGGGCACGGGCGGCGACGGTCACCAGCTCCAGGTACAGACAGCGCACCGCCCAGAACCAGTACCAGCAGAGCGTCTGAAGCGTGGCCAGTGCCGCCATGCTGGCCAGTACGGCCCACAGCGAGCCGGCGGCCAGCAGGAACACGCCCACGGCCAGTGCGGCCGACTGGGCGGTGAAGAGGGCGCCGCAGCCGACCAGCCAGGCCAGCAGCAGCGGCGGCCGGCGGCGCGCCGCCCCCAACACCAGCAGCACGTGGAAAGCGGCGGCCAGCAGCGGCAGCGGCGCAGACGCCGCCAGCGCGGTGGCCTCGCGCCAGCCGCGCCGCTGGCAGTAGAGCGCGGCGGCGGTCAGCGCCAGGCCCGCCACGCCGTACACAATCAGTAGCCACACGCCGATGGCCACGCAGCCGCGGCGCAGCTCGACGCAGCGGCAGCAGGTCGGCATCGTGAGCCGACTGAGCTCGGAGGAGTCACCGTCCGCAGCCATCAGCAGGCCAGACACACGGCACTGTCCATCGCCAGTCGTCCAAAGACAAAGACACGACACACGGCTTTATCTGCCTGCCGGTGCCTACACACGGCAATGATCTCAGTTGCTGTCAGACTCAGACGGACACAGCACGGCACTGTCTTCTTTCTGCTGCCTTCAGAATGATAGACGCGTCGCTCTATCCATCAGCAGAGTGACAGATAGACGGCACTGTCCTTCGTGACTTCTATGAAAAGTGAAAAGACACTCAACTGTCCTGTCTTCCATCCGCTGCTTTTAGATGGACAGACACAAGACGCTGTCCGTCAGCTGTCGTTCAGAGACGCGACACTGTCTCATTTCCGTCCGCAGCTATCAGACGGACGGACACACGGATTTGTCTTGTTTTTACCGGCCTCAGACGAGATAACACATGAGCACTGTCTTCAGCTGTCGTGCAAATGCACTAAACTGCCATCCGTCAGCCATCGTCTGTCTGGTTTCCGCTGCCGTCAGACGGACAGATAATCGGCGCTGTCTATGACCCGGAAGGTACGCGGAGGCAGTCCGGTCTGCCAGAGCACCCAAGGCTCTCAGACGGCTCGCCAACAGGAGCGACGCGCAAACTAGCGTGTATGAGCACTGAACAGCGAGCACGTCTCGCCGCTACCGCGGTACTGGAGCTCTCGGTGCTGTGAGCCGCACTGCCGACAATCAGTGACGTTTGTCAGGCGGCTTCCATCGGCCACTATCAGTCGGTTCAAGGTCGAACGACATGACGTCATTCAGTGAGTGCACTGTGTGTGCACATTGTGTGCGCAGTGAGCACGGTCAAACTTCCTTTGTGCTTCGAAAATACTCATGATCGCATCTTCGTTGCCCTCCCCAACCCCCATCCATCCATTATCTGTTGGTGTTCGTCATACGGGCAGGCGCATTCGGGTGTCTTTTTACCCTCCTCAACATACCCATACATACCTAACTGACGAGTGGCGATTCAGCAAGGCACGCGAGTTGATATTTATGCTGTTATTCACTTCGACCAAGAGCGGGCTCTTCTCGCGCAACCACCCCGATATCCCCCTCCCCTCCCCGTTCCCATGTCGTGCTCGTGTGTTCAAGATAGGTAAATTGCAATTATACATTCACTGAATAACACTTAAAAGACCTATCGATTAATGAAATGAAACATTTATTTTTTTCGCGGGATAAATGAGAGAAGGAGGGGAGCAAATAGATAAAATCGTCCCAGCATAAAAATGAATAGGTACGTGTGTGCAATTAACTTCAGTATTTTGCGATTTGGAATCGTGCGGTTGTAAGGTAAAGTTAATAAAGTTGACTTAGTTTTAACTTGGGTAATAAAGTAACTTATTCCTCCGGGAATAAAGTTAAAGGAATAAGCATACAAATCTGTTCCTTTAATCTCTTTTCACAGGTCAACTTGATCTCAAAGTCGGCCTACAGTACCTACCTACCTTTACCCTACCTAGGTATCTATTACCTACCTACCTATATTGTTTCTGCTGTTTACGACTTACGTTCATTCTTTGACTCGATCGCTTTATAATCACTTATGGGAGAATAGGTATGATGATTCAGGCAAGTCACTGTTTTCTTTTCCACAAAGCGCACACCAAAAAGAGAGCGTTGAAGCAGCAGTAAGTACAAGACTCTTGTATTACTCCTGTATTGGTATTATCCATCGTGTATTGGCAGATGCCCGGTTGTGAACATAGCAGCGCTCTCAGCCGTGACGGTGAGGTCGGCGGCGGGTCGGGCCCGTCACCCATCACCAGCTGTAGTCCTTCAGACTCTCCTCCAGCTGCTGGTCGTCCAGGCCGTAGTCGGCGGCGCACAGACTCAGCATCTGCTGGAAGGGCAGCAGCCGCGCGCGCACCAGCACGTGGTTGTCGAACAGGCCGCTCGACACCAGCCGCGAGACGAACATGCCGCACACGCTCTCCGGCGGACCTGAGGGAGACACAACATCGGTGGCAGTCAGTGGTCAGTGGTCAGTGGTTACTGGTCAGTGGTCAGCGGCCATTGGTCACCCTACACAGCACACACTGAACACAATATACAGAGGCCTTGTGGAAGACGCAGCCTATCCCCATCGACAGAGAACCTCATGTCCCTACTGTCCGATCCACTACCCTCTATCTCATCGATAAAGAAGCTTACGTCCCTCCTGTTCGTGCTAGCAGCGCCCCTCTGCCGGTTCGGTGACGTCTATTTGTATTTTGTACCGTTGCCACCACCTATCTGCCGTATGTATCTACTTACATGCCGTTTTATGAAGGTAGGTAGTACATATGCAGGGTATGTACATATGTACACTCACCGGCCGACGAGCTGATGCCACAGAGACGCCGGCTGACTGCCGCCGACCGGTCAGTGTCCAGACCGGTGGCCTCGCCGAGCTCCACAAAGTCGGGCCAGCCGCGACGCGCGCACTGCGGAACATATATGCAAACAGGCACGGCCGTTTAGTCAGGTTTTCTATAGGAATGAAGGCAAAATGCGTCCAACATTCCATCGCTCATTTACAGCCTCTTTGTCGTAAGAATGAAACGGCAGAAATCTTTTGTTGAGTCTGGGGAGAGACCAAACGGCGTTTGGTCTCTCCCCAGACTCAACAAAAATACAATGTCATTGATGACTTTATACTGTTCTGTATAAACCTCCAGCAAGCTGAACAGTGAACACTACTGCCTATGATATCCAATATATATATGCATGTACAAAGACTGTCATCACAGTTAGCTGTGTCTCTGTATTTCATTCCCGGTACCCAAATCGCAGTGGGTCTGCCACACTCCACCTACCTTGGTAGAGGTCAGGGCAGCCCTCGTGCGCCTCCCACCGCCGCTCAAGGGCGCTCCCACACGGAACGGCAACACCTGTACCTCCACAGGACTCATGCTGAACAGTGTGCAGTTTCTGCGCTGGCCGAAGTTGCGCAGGGAGAATACCTCAGTGGTGCCGTCCATCAGCTGGTTACACGCTGTGTGAGATAGAACGGGTGAGATGGAGAATGGTGCGGCCGACAGCCGAGCGTATGTACAGTAATGTACGCTAATTCTGCTTATTAGCGCCGTTGGAGTGATGCAGAGGGGCCAGGATAGTAAACATTGATTGGATAAATTGGTTTTAGATGGTCGGCTGGCAGAGGACTTCAACCACGCCTCCGGAATTGCTCATCGATACAAAGAAACGTTTCAAGAGCGGGCGTAAGGACGTCTATTTTCTGAGCATGGGGTTTTTAGATTAGACATGCGATCTGTGAAGTTCAAAACCCGACATACATTTGTCAAGCACCCTTTGTCTCTATCTCTGCGGACTGAGAACTGTGAAGCTCGTAGCCCGACTTCTCAAGTAGGCACAAGTGACAACTGTCTGAGTCTGATAAGATTAGACCAAATGCAATTTGCTGCCTGGTAATAGGTATGCTCATTTCTCACGAATCTCCCGACCTCTGAGATTCGCTAAAAATAGCTGCAATGGACTGAAAACACAGTCCAGAAACTGAATAACGTCGGGCCTATGATTTGAATGCGTAGCTCACATACTTGGTACTGATATGACGCCAGCGCCTGTTTTACGACTCGAAACTGATAAAAGCAGACAGGCACCGACAGGCAGGCAGACAGACAGGCATATACGCATTGTGCATTCAGCCCGCATTTGCAGAACTGCTCGTGGCTTCATGGACTGTGCCTGGTGTTGGGTAGGCTGGATACGGATAACTCATACGGCACTCGAGGGAATGGGAAATGCGTAACTCTTTCCAAGGACTGGGTAAACGGTGCATAACTGACGAGGGAAGCTGGGTAATGAGATAACTAGATAATTCATGCATGGGGCATGGGCTAGGTGATGGGTAACTCGCACCGAGAGTTGGGAAAAGGGTAACTCACCCCGGAAGTTGGGTAATGGGCAGCTCACGCCGGGGGTTAGGTAGTGGATAGTAGCCGTTTTCACGACGGGCTATCCGGCGAATTTCACCAAATCTGCTCCCAATCTCTTTTACAGCAAATATCTTCATTTTACGAATTTATTTCAGTGTTTTAATCGATGATGCTCTCTGACAATATGACAAAGCAGACATATAAGCAATTAGCGCAACCCTAACTGATAGCTGATAAGAGACACACTGAACCTAATTTGACCAAATCTGCCCCTAATCTGTACCAGATGTGCACCAAATGTGTACCAGATGGCCGTCGTGAAAACGGCTCAAGTGTGTAACTCGCGCCGTGGGTTGGGTAATGCGTAGTGGGTACTGGGTAGCAGCTAGTGGGTACTCACGCCGGGGGTTAGGTAGTGGTCGATAGTGTGTAACTCGCGCCGTGGGTTGGGTAATGCGTAGTGGGTACTGGGTAGCAGCCAGTGGGTACTCACGCCGGGGGTTAGGTAGTGGTCGATAGTGTGTAACTCGCGCCGTGGGTTGGGTAATGGGTAGTGGGTAGCAGCCAGTGGGTACTCACGCCGGGGGTTAGGAAGTGGTCGATAGTGTGTAACTCGCGCCGTGAGTTGGGTAATGGGTAGTGGGTACCTACTGGGTAGCAGCCAGTGGGTACTCACGCCGGGGGTTGGGCAGGTGCCGCACGCGCACGGAGAGTGCCGATCCGGCGGCCGGCAGTCGGTACTGGAGCAGCACGGCGTTCTGCTCGCTGACGAACGGGCGCGGCGGCGGCGCCGTGCCGCACAGCTCGACGGTGCGCTCCTCGACGGGCCGGCCGTGGTCGGAGGGGCTGGGCCACAGCTCGCCCATCATCTCCCAGCCGTCCACCAGCTGAGCAGACCGGCACGCAGAGACAGCGTCAAGGGCCAGCGTTGCGTTACAACAGACCAGTTATGACACGTGGTATGCAAATGGCGATCACTGCTCAAATATCCAATAGTATGGCATGAAATAAATAATTGTCACGCATTCATCACCTATTATCATTTCTCTGTTAGGTATCATTTGTCTATTATCTTGAATTTATTGCAGCCGTACAGGACGTCCTTCCCGTTTTAATTCCGACTGACGACAATCATAGTCAGCTTCTTTGAAGAAGGGAGAGGCTTCCCGAGGTCTTTTTCACTTGTGAGAAGTGGGCAACCGTCAGAACACATCCGCAGTGTCCCTATCTCATGATAACATTCCTTCGTCGGTTCTACCTACATTTGTTTTTCTACTTTTCACTGTTCTGTTGGCACAGCAATAATAAACGATAAGTCCTCCAGACCTAGCTATGACTTTCCTTAGTCCTTACAATGCCTACGAATAATATACGTGCAATGTGCATACATTTGCTCTACACATCATAAATGTCGTCCGTTTCGTCTCTTGCTGCCGACCGCCAGCCATTCAGCGAAGGTGTTTTGCGGGCTGCCTACCTTGCAGGCGCTTGCGGAACGGCCGCACAGCAAATCTGACACGACGGAATAGCGAATGGTGTGCGAATCTGCAAGTGTTTGTTGAACTTTTGGATCAGGTAGATTCAAAATAAGGCCTGAGGAGCTTATTTAGACAAGTCTGAATTATTTGCGCTGGAATTTATTTATTCTTATGTCGACCCTCTTTTGTCGAACCCTTATATGTCAAACCTCAAAAGTAGAAAGATGAAGCGCTGTTGTTTAAAAAGCACAATGCTTCTGTCTTCACGTGCTCACGATTAACAAGAGGGGACAAGATTACCTACTTACTCACAGTTATTAATAATTCAGTGACAAAAATGTTCGTGTCTACTGAACATGTTTCTGTCAACTACATGTTTGGCGAGTCTTGTGGCCTTTACCTAACTATGTCTATGTTTTATGCAACGCGTATAATAATTGCTGCATAAGACTGGAAACGGTCCAGATAGACGAACTCACAGCGACCCGGCCGCCGGTGTGGCACGGCACGTTGACGTAGTTCAGCTGCACCTCGATGATGTTATTGGCGTCCGAGAAGAGGTAGAGGCCGCAGGTCTCCGACGAGCCGTCCCCAGACGACTTGATGTAGAACGTGCCGTCAGCAGACGTCGTGTTTATACACTCTGGGAAGTGCATTCAATCAATAAAATGTTCACAAATCTCATGGCGATGAAGAACACACAGACAGCTGTGAAACGTTGTATAGTAACATTGACCAAATGCAATCAAATACTGCAGATAACGGATCATGAGACATAAAATGCTGCGAACGCCTCTCGCTGCGTGAGAGGAACCCTCAAACACTGCAGGCAAAGCTATAATAACCTACGCTGTGCTGCCAGTGACGTGTGTGCAACAAGGGACCGAATCTCAAATATCTGCGACAATCTATACACGACAGAGTTCTATGAGGTATACCGGTGCATGTTCGTCATTAAGATATTTCTGGGTACTATGTATTTGCCGGTCTCATTGCAATATTTACCTCCGCAGCTATCATATTAGACGTCTGTGGCGTCGAGAAATAATTTTCTGCCTCAGGCCCTCACCTCGAATGATGTGGTGCGCGCCAACGTCGCGGGCTGGAGAATGTTCATCTTCTGAAGGGGGCTTCCCGATACTGACATCCTAAGAACAGGACATTACTTGCTGAGCTCATGGTAAATTGGCAAAGGCCAGACGTTTCTTATAGGCATCTTGGGCCAGGCATTCTGTGTTCGATAGGAAATTTCATGATTCAACGTTTCCAACCATCACACACACTAAGTTAACTATGAGCAAGGGCTTGGAAAAAGACCAATGCACAACACTCCCCTCTCCATCTCTCTCCCTCTCACCTACTACTCTCTCTCTCCCTCGCCCCCTCTCTCTCTCTCTCTCCCTCTCTATTTCTCTCTCCCTCTCTCTCTCTCTCTCTCTCTCTCTCTCTCTCTCTCTCTCTCTCTCTCTCTCTCTCTCTCTCTCTCTCTCTCTCTCTCTCTCTCTCTCTCTCTCTCTCTCTCTCTCTCTCTCTGCCGTATTTACCTGAGGGAAGGCGTGTGTGGGGAGCACGTTGAAGCTGAGGTGAGCCAGCACCACAGCAGCCGATAGTAGCCGCTTGCCCCGGTACATGTCTGAGTCCTGTCGACAGGTGTCAGTTCAGAACCAGGTTAACAGACCCCGGGCTCGGGACCTGCGTGCTTTTCACAATGGGCTATTGGACGAATGCAAGTAATTAGACCAAATCTGCACCAATCTTTTAAACTTCTTAAAAAGCTGAGACTCTGCTTGAGGCTCATGATGAATAATAATAATATAAGAATAACCAGTAACCTCATAATATAAATTAGAAATAGGAGCCAAAAAGTTGTTTAAAATAATCGAATATTTCGCTCCTGGAGCTTCGTCGGCGACAATTCATCGATTAAAACACTGAAATAAATTCATAAAATAAAGATATTTGCTCTAAAAGAGATTAGGTGGAGATTTGGTCAAATTATCGCTGACGAAGTTCCAGGATCGAAATAATGGATAATTTCAAATATAGCTTTTTGGCTCCTATTTCTAATGTATATTATGAGGTTACTGGTTATTCTCATATTATTATTACCAATCTCTTAAAACAAATATCTTCATATCAATTATCATGAATGTATTTCTGCAGTGTTTAAATAGAAAATAAGGTCTAATAATTTGAAAAATGGGGTATACAAGCATCTGTGCAGCCCAAACTGATAACTTTTAAGAAACACAGAACATAATAGCCGTTTTCACGACGGCCATCTGGTACACATTTGGTGCACATCTGGTGCAGATTAGGTGCAGATTTGGTCAAATTAGGCTCAGTGTGTCTCTTAGTAGCTATCAGCTAGGGTTGCACTATTTACTTATATGCCTGCTCTGTCATATTTTCAGAGAGTATCATCGATTAAAACACTGAAATAAATTCATAAAATAAAGACATTTGCTCTAAAAGAGATTAGGTACAGATTTAATCAAATTAGGTGCATTCGCCGGATAGCCCGTCGTGAAAACGGCTAATTTGACCAAATCTGCACCACCTCAGCACCTAATCTGCACCAAATGTGCACCAGATGGCCGTCGTGAAAACTGCTGGCATAAACCTTTTATATCCCGCGACCGCCTGGGGGGGTCGGATCCGACCCCCCCCCCTCCGTTTTTCTTGAATAACTCAAGAACCGCTTACGCTATCAACTTGAAACTTGGCATACCTTCTCCCCCATCAATTTGACGTCTTCTGTGTAACTTTGAAGAAAAAAAATTCAAAATTTTTTAGATATATCGATTTTAGTGATGTAACTACATGGCGTTTTTAGTCAAAAAGTGGTAAATGTTTAAAAAATCGCCAAAAATCAGGGTTTAAAGCAAATTGCAAATTAAGGACATGAATAGACGCAGCTCAACGAGTTCTTTAAAATGGATATCTCGGATTTTCCATAAAATGCGTTTTTCACCCCTAAAAATTCAAAAAACTACATTTTTTGGAAAACAGCTAATAAAATCCAAAATTTTTAAAATTTCCAAAAAACCGGAATATATGTTATAGAGCTCTATTAGAACATTAGAGGTCCCAAATTTCAACTTTCTATCTTGATTTTTGACCCCCAAATTGTAAAAAATAGCTCCAACATGCATAGGGCATGGTGACGTCATTAGCATTTTCGTGAATTAGAGGCACTTCTGAACATCGCATGTGAAAACAAATGGCACCACTAGATTCCTGGGACAAAGCTCGTCTAGAAAAGTGCATTTTTATGTCAAAAATAAAAAGTTGAAAAAATGACCCTTTTTCTCAGCCCTCGTTTAGTATAAACGATTTTTTATGCTTTCAATGCACATTTATCACCAGAAAAGTGAATTGGGGTCACATATAACCATTACCATCGGATTCGGCGTGAAAAAAAGCCATAAAACATGTGTTGCACGCCCATGTAGCAGAAAGTGAAAACCGTGACCTTTCGTGACCTGACCTGACCTTGACCCGTACTTAGTATGACCCCTATACGCACATGGTACCTTCACTAGGTCTTTGAGGTCATTTTTGGTGAGTTTCGAGCAGCAGCTATCGATTCCGCTGTCCGTAAGCCTAATCATGCAAAACCCCTGAATTTGACCTTTGACCTGACCTTGACCCGAAAGTTGACCTCAATCTTAAAATCTTAAGAGTGCTTTGGGAAGGTCTCGTAGAGACCTTTCGAACGCCGCCTCGCGGGGCTCGATGCGACCATTGGTTCTCGAGATAACAGGGGGGGGGGGTCGGATCCGACCCCCCAGGCTGTCGTGGGTACGGAAATAGCCCAGGCGGTGCCGGGATATGTTACTTAGAGTGTTTAGAATGGCATTTCACCAAATAAGTCGCAATTCAGTTTTCTCCCATTGATTTATGACGAGAGGCCGCAAAATTGAACTGACTAGGTCACCGAAATGAGTAAAATCAAAGATATACGTTTTGTACATCCTGCCATTCTAATAAATCGCAGAAAGCTTCAAGCCATTTAGTCAGTCAGATTAGCTCTGACGAGCAAAAAACTCTTATGAGGTTAGGTCACTTGACATGACATGGTGACCTGAACTTTAGAGACCAGGGTCTAAGGTTTGCACATGTGTAGAAAAGATGAAACCGCATTGGGGCGTTCAATTTCCTCGGCCCAGCGCAAGATAATGGATCATTATATGAATGCTAACACAGCGCGAATGAATTCACTGTTTTGGTGACATGTGTAAGGTTCCCGTTGTGATGCCGCCAGGTATAAGTCGTTTTCACGACGGCCATCTGGTACACATTTGGTGCACATCTGGTACAGATTAGGTGCAGATTTGGTCAAATCAGGACAATTAGTGCAATCAGGACAGGACAAATTTGTGTGTGTCTCTTAGTAGCTATCAGCTAGGGTTGCACTAATTGCTTATATGCCTGCTTTGTCATGTTATCAGAGAGCATCATCGATTAAAACACTGAAATAAATTCATAAAATGACGATATTTGCTGTAAAAGAGATTAGGTGCAAATTTGGTCAAATCAGGTGCATTCGCCGGATAGCCCGTCGTGAAAACGGCTATTATGTTTTGGCACCCATTTTCAGCTAACGATGATCTGTTGAAAATAACCCTCAAACGTAGTGGGAAACTTTGCATCGGAAGCACCAGTTCAGTCCGTACTAATCAATAAAAGAAGGACGACAAGCCATCTCGCTGAGAAAGTTCCTCGGCTGTAAAAACATTTCGAGCGAAACAACAAATTATTTCCGCCCAAACTTACAACGGAACACCTGCGACCTTCGTGTGCTGATAGCTGTCCGTATAATTTTACGAATGAAGTTGCCTGAAGGTCCTACGAACTTTACTGTCGATTTTTACTCTCGCTATAGCCCGCCAGACAGGCAAATTCGATTCTGCAATTAATTGCACACAAAAGAAAACTTTGAAATATTTTTTTTTTGAAATAGTTCAGAAATATTTTTCAGATAGCGGTACCAAAAACAGCTTTACTCTGAAAACGGCTATCCCGCAACATGACGGAGAGCGGACCGATTTAGCGGCTCCTTACTTATTTTACGCATAGTTTTCAACGTCAATCCCTCAATGCAGTTTTGGAATAACAAAAATATACAGTATACACTGTATGATTGCGATACTTTTGTGCAATAATATGTATGAATTTTTTGCTCCATACCGCCTTTGGTCAGGTCACTTCTGGTTTACGATTACGCTTAGTGGCCCCGATATGAACGCAAAAAAAAAGTAACCGGTCCCGCTTACAACTCATATGCAGGGAGCAAGCAATAATGTATAAACCTTTGCCGTTTGCGACTCATTTAGTTGTCATTAAAACTGAACGGATCCCTCTAAAACCTATTTATATCCTATGAAATCTATAGAGTCCAGTCAATACTTAGCTAACTACCTACCTAGTACCTATACCTAACCTACGATAGGCAGCCTGCGAGCGCGGCCGGGCCGCTCATACTAAAATTTTACAGATTAAGTTGGCATGGCAGCTTCCTGATGGTACGTATACTTTTATTTTTACTTGTTATATATAATGAAATGTTTGGCATTAGCAATAGACTTCTTTCTTACGACGTTAAAATGGTTTATATCCGCGACCACGATGGAATTATCGGTAGCATAAGCAATTATGACATCTTAGTACGGTTATAAGCGCTTACAGCCTTTGGCATGAAACCGCTGTTATGTGTGAAACTTCCGACCAATAGTTTCTAAAATTGCAGCACGGGTCTTCGCTCCTGCGACATCAGTTCCTATACCTGCATTACCAGTATCCTCGCCCGTATTACGGTTCCCCATGGCTGCAGTCCCGGTATCTCCGCCCATATTACGGGTCCCCATATGTTCTCGATATCCCCACCCGTATTACGGGTCCCCATGGCTGTAGTCACTGTATCCCCACCTGTATTACGGATCTCATAACTGTATATGTATGTAGTCCTAAAGCCTGTGCATCCAGCGCTGGGTAACCTCTCACCTGTCCTTATCCCAAGCCTCACTACGTCCCACAGTCTTTGACCTGCCTCTGTCCGTGGTGAGGGGACAGTTGTGAGGGGCCGCCGAGGCCGCCTGGTGTTCCGACTCGGCGGTTCGCTGTCCACTGCCGCCGTCGACACCGTCGGACCGCCGTCGGCACCGTTGGACCCCCGTCGGCACTGACGGCGCGCCGGCGTCGCGCAGCCCGCGCCCCCGAGTGTCTCCTGTGTGAGTAGCGTACGCACCTGGCCGCGGCCTCGGGTGTCTCCTGTACGAGTAGTGTACGCACCTGTCTGATCGGCTGGCTCCGGCGGAGGTGGCCCTGCCCGTCCTGCCGCCGGACCGCGGAGCTAACTGCGCGACTGACTGCCGCCGACTGGACCGGACACGGTGCGTGTCACTCACCCTCCGATGACCCCTTCAGCAGGCACTGACGTCATCGACAAAATGGCAGCGCTGCGCCTTGTACCACTGCAAATATATTAAAACAAACACGATTTTATTTCGTCTGTTTGATAATACTTCATCACACATTGCACTGAGCGTGCAGCCGGTGCAAAGCGTTGCAAAATGCGATAAGACAATTTCGTAATCTTTGCGCTCCCTCCACTTTTTACGGTGTTAAGGTAAGCAAACACTCTTCCAGTTGTGAGTCACTGTTATTAGAGAAACGCTTATAAATTGCTTCTTTTAATACCTATCTAAGGGATATATGGAGTACCGTCGGTGGTACACATCTCGGACACAAAAATAGGTCGTCAGCTTCCGGCCATGGTTACTATTTGAGGAAGCTCTTTGATGCTAACTTCCGTTTAGCCATCATTAGCATAACAACGACTAAATACAACTTTTTTGTGCAAAGCAGATGTGCCTCTTTCTCGTTAAGTTAAACGAAATGGGGAGGTCATGCATGATGTAACCAAGTTCATCTCAGGTGACCCTTATAAAACATTTGAGATACAAAAGTTGCAAGGATTTGGAAGCTTATATACTTTTTGAGCGTCTTTTCTCTCTGCGAATGAGTTCCTAGCAAAGAGAGCGTTGCTAAGTTGTGACATTTCCGGACCGTGCAGATGCGCACTAATGACTTCATAAGTGAGCGACTTGAATTATCCTAACAAAAATTGAAAGAGTATCAAAAGATTTGACAATGAGTCGGTGGTGAGGCATGTGGTAATTTTGGTTCTCTACCGAAAGCGTACCTACTCCGAGTCGCGAAAAAGACCCACTGGCCAGAGAGGATTAAGTGAAGCCGAATCAAACAAAAATTATCGAGTGGACATAAAACCCGAGTTTGATGCAAATCTAGTGTGCAACGTGACAAATGTCAGCAGATAATAGCATGAATGACTTCATTGAGTGTGTTCATTCATGTCCATGCTATCAACAATGATCATGAAAATTCAAACGATGGTTGGGTCAACAACATGGATTCAACTCCCAATGTTCCGTTTTATTTATGGCATATGAGTAGATGAATACACTTCCGTCGAGCACCACTAAAATTCTACATCTATATTTTCCAAACAAAAATAAGAGCCGCAGCTCGAGCGGCCGTCCCAGCTCGCGCTCCACTGGATGGCATTACTCTGCACCTTCCGTCGAGTTTTCGACCGGGGGAGCATACATGGCACGTGGCACGGTATGATAGGGGACGGGACCTTACTAGGAGGTACGGGTAAATACGATACGGTACTGGCTACGGTGTCTTACCAATGGATTTCTTTTATACGGTACGATACTGTACGCTACCGTACCTCACCTCATAATATAGTGTGGTACGACATAGTACGGAGCGGTACTTCAATCGAGGCATGGTACGGCATCTAACCGCGCTGTATGTGTGCCGCAAAGCACAACACGGTAGTACGGTATTTAAAGGGACCCTCCCACCTTAACATTAGATTTGAGTTGAGATAGCCAAAATGGGGTCCCTGGCTCACAATTACCGGTTTCGGCACTCACAACATCGAGAAATGCCTTAAATCGGAAATATTGAATTTCAAAATTGCAGCATTTTGATTCAGAGGGGCTAATGCATAGGAATACCCCTCTGAATGTGTGACGTCAGCGCAGATATCTAACGATTTTTAAATGTTTGACTAAAACGTTTTGTAGCACGCGGTGGTATATGCTGCTTTGCGCGCAACAAATGCCGCACTTTCAAATAAAGTCGCTAGGAACAGCGGAGATCCCAAAAAGTAAACAAAAGTAAAAGTCTAATATCTTGAAAACCGGTGAATATTTTTCGATGAAATTTGGTAGATATTCGTTTTTGCTCTTTCTGAACCGAGCGACATCACTTTCATGCCAATTCATTAACCCGCGCCCCGCTGGGGGGGGGGGCAGAATCTGCCCCCCCTCCCGTTTTTCGCCAATAACTTCTAAACGCGTCACGCCAGCAACGTCAAACTTTCAGTACCTTATCATACATCAATTTGACACGTTCCCTGAAAATTTGAGCGAAATCCGTCGGAAAATTTTTGAGAAATTGACGTTTTAGTGACGTCATGTTCGCCATTTTCGCCTCAAAAACGGCAAAATTTCAAACGCCGCTAACATCTTCATTTTTCAAGGAATCAAGACGTAACAAAAAAGGTTATACGTGATTCTACTTTGTCTATCAAATGGCTATCTCGGTTTTTTGAAAATTTTGGATTTTAGCCAAAATTTTTCCAAAAAACTGACTTTTTTGGGAAAATATTTATAAAATCCAAAATTTTGAGTTTATCGAAAAAACCGGAATATATGTCAAAGAAGTGGTCTATGTGCACCTACATACCAATTTTTAGAAGAATCGGTTTAAAAATGTGGGAGTTATTCAAAATTTTATGACGTCACGACACACAAATTTTTTGAAAAATGATTTTTTGGAAGTTCTAGACCTCGTACGGAAACAAAAATAGCACCATTCGATTCGCCGTGAAAAACTGCATCGGATAGACACCTTTTTAGGCCTGAACAACCAACTTCAAAATTTGACCTCACTTGACCTGACCTTGACCTGACCTCGACCTGAAATTCATCCAGAGGTGGTCCAAATCACTTATTGAGTGTGCCTATTGAATTCCATGAGTAAAATGACCCATAAAACATGTGTCGCACATGCCCTTTTCTATATTTTGTTTTTGGTGACCTGACCTGACCTGACCTGACCTTGACCTTGACCTTTGAATGACATTGTGTGCAACGAATATTGTCTTGGTAGTCTAAGAACACGTTTTGGGCAATCAGTCTCAGTCCATTCTTCGGCAACTACGGTGCAAGACCGATACTGTAGAAACTTGCATTTTGTACCCTTGACCTGACCTTGACCTGACCTCTGACCTATTTAAGCAAAAAAATTTGGGCTCTCAAGATCCGCCTTGTTGAGAGCTTTCGATTGCCGTTTTCCCCGTCTTTCTACGACCATCGGTTCGGAAGTTAGACAGGGGGGGCAGAATCTGCCCCCCCCCCCCCCCAGCAGGGCGCGTATGGCTGAATAGCCCAGCGGGGCGCGGGTTAACTTTTTTGAAGGTGGGAGGGTCCCTTTTACAATGGGGGCGCCGTAAGGCAGATAACCATGGCGTACTGAACTTGCATACCATGCAAAATCGCACCATACGATACGGTGCGCTGCGGCCGCTCAGGCAGAGACCAGCTGACTGTTCGACACACGCCGAACGGCTGATCGTCAACGCGTTCCATTGATGAGCGCCGATGCGCACAGAGGCGCACCACAGCACTGGGGGCGGCGGGTGAGACGAGAGGGACCGTCGACAAAGGCTCTACAAGACGCTCGTTCACAAACAAACAAGTCCGGCCAGCCGGCGCCGTATCAGACAAGCGTTCTGGAGGCTACTTCACGACGTCGCAAACGGGTCACAAACGTAGTCCGCTGGCACTGCGCTTTGGAAGTCACTGTCTCCTCTCTGGCGGCACACTGCGGGGTCCGTCGGGGGCACATGAGGACGGCGCCCGGCGGCAAGTCATGGTTCCGCGTCGAGTCGTTCAACGCGATGCTTGCAGCCGGCAGAAATGTCTCAATGCCGGCTGATCGGTGCACTCGTCAATTCCACGGAACAGGCCAGAGCAGCTACTGTCGGCTCCAATTGACAGGTCGCAGCGAACGCCGTCAGCTTCAGGGCACCACAAGCTGGCTGCAGAAGGAAGTGAGGTCAACCACATGAACAATTTTCTAGTCGTCTATATTTGTTTAACAGTCGACTACTACTGTATATGCTGCTTCTGTGTTTCGTTTAGAGTACATATCAAAGACAAATTGCTATGTTATCTTTACATCATTTGAGTAGGTAGGTAGATACGCAACTGAAATGATATGTACCTATAACGAGGCTTGAAATGATCTCACGCATGTCAAATTGTTTTTATTTTGCCTAAAATAAAAACAATTTGACATGCGTGAGATCATTGCAAGCCTCGTTATATTAATAATTATCATGTAATCCATCCTCGCCCATATAAAAAGATATGTACCTATGTGTATTTTACTTAACAGCGAAACTGAACCACTGAACAATGTCCTTAAGAATTCCCAAGAAAGCTCTGTGGTATGTATAACGACAGGCCGGAAAGTAAAACATGAACTAATTAATAGTGGAAAAAAGAACGCTGTTATACTCGTCAAAACTGTATGATTTCATGCATTGAAAGGGACGTGGATATGAGAGCAGTAATGCATTACGCACTACGCAGCATGCAAGACATTTGCTGCTTGCAAATGAGGATTCCGAATGACGCAAACTTTGGAAATGCTGAAACTTTTCTCGCTGTCTTAAATTTGCAAGACGAGCAGCTCCTCGTTGAATGATCATTTCAATTACCGAGTTGAGCGAAATTACTCGATAAACGGACTGGCTTCTAATAAAATACAAGTACGAAGGTCTTCACAAATAAAACTCCACCAGAGGGACATCGGGATTGTTGAGCACCGACAGTCGCTTGAAAGAAAAGGGATGTCGTTTAGCAGGGATAGACCCATCCTGGTGTAGGTTGAGGATGAGTGAGAAATGTCCCAGAGAGCGTATAACCGGTATATTGGAAATGGAGAGTAGGGTTTCCGGATTGGCAGTGCTAAGTGATACAGCCGTAGCTAAGACTGCGTAAACAACTTGCTGACCGTATCTTGTTGGGGCGGATGTCATCCTACCGGTGCAACCTCATGCATCGGATATAAGATGTCATTCAACTGCACTATATACAACCACTGCACGATACAAACTAAGGAGATCGTGCAGATACCTCCGTCGAGCGCGCTATCCATTGATTAAACAGCTCACTTGCTGCAAATGGAGCGGTAACCTATGACGACAAATCATTCGATGCAAAGGTCGCAGTCGGGCAGGAAATGAGGTTCGTATTTTCTACTTCACCCGAGCAAATGTGTTATTTATGAAGCCAGGGGAAGGACGGTATACCTAAAACGCGGCCACGGCCCTGTTCATTTGGCCTTGTTTGCGTCAGAGCCAGCGTCTCGCCGTGCCAAGCGTGCTGTAGAGCAAAACATGGTTCAGACATTCACCATTTTCATATGCGAGCAGCCCAACTTCCGCTCAGAATAGAGTTGTAAGTACTTAGGACGGCCAAGAAATAAAATGTTAAACGACTACATCAATCTGCTACTAAAAAGAAAAATGTGAGGCCTCTGAACAGCTCCCATATTTTTGTTGATGTAGCAATGCCGTTCCTTCCGATAGCTTATAACTGATGACTGAGTTGTGCTTGCAGATAGAAAGCTTTATCACTGATCAGACTGGTCTATTATGAGCGGAAGTTTGTTCCATGTAAACAGTTGATCAATGAGTGAGTCACCGTAGCAGGCGTGCTGAAAACCCATGATGTTACGGACCATGAACCTGGGCGAACGGCTGAAAACACACACGTCACACTCACCCAAGCGTTCACCCACACACAAAAGAGCGAGAGAACAGCGGACGATACAAGAGGTCGTGTGCAAAATAGCAGCGTAAGCATTGGCGATTGATTTCAGATGAGTGTGCCATGCACTGCCACAAGCGCTGAAACCGGCAGCAGTCAAATAGGTTAAATAAATAGGTTGTCAGCCGTAGTAGCAAAGGCTCATCACCTGCCGTCTTTCAAAAGGGTCCAAAGGCAGCTGACAGGATGATTCTGGGAAGGAAAAGGACTATAAGTTATATTTATTCTTTTAATTCAAAAATAGAATATAACCTAAATTTATCAGTTTGGGTGGTACACTGATTATATGCAGAGCTTTATTGGTGATAAGGAATTTGTCATTAGCTCATTAAAAGGAACTGAATTGTTGAAAAGTTTGGAAGGATAAAGAACAGTCGATGTTTGGCAATAAGCAAGGCGTGGCTGGTTGCGTCGGTAGTAATAAGTATAGCAGCGGGGCAGTGCCGGAAGCAGCAGGTAGCGCTGAGTCGTCGACAGTTGACAGTGCAGTGTTGAAAACAACAGGAAGCGTCGCGCTGCAAGCCTCCATGTTCAGGGTTGAGTGCTGATCGAAAGCGTGTCCATAGTTGGCAGTCAGAGCAATAGAGAAGTTATCACGCAAAAATCAAGTTAGCAACAAAAGCTGTTATAATATTAAGCACCAAGAGCTGCACACTGGATGTTAGCGAACGCGGCCGTTCAGCTACGCTACCTTGATTACGTTAGTTTCTTCCAAATGAGGTCGCGGAACAGAGTACAGCTGAGCCGCGACCTTTTGCCGGTGCGGACTGTGGACGGACCGCAGAGGGAGAGAGATGATACTCTATACCCGACGGGTCAGTGGCACACACATGGACAACGCTACATATCAGGTGTCACCAGCATAGTAACATGCGCACTGCCACGAGATCACGTTTACGCACACCAAAACGCTACAATATCCTATCTGGGAAGCTATAGGTATGGATATCTTGATATCTAGGTCTAACTACCAGTCCAGTTTCATGCACTCTGTAAAACTAAGGAGTCATAGTACACTACACTGCCTAGGAATCATCAGAAAACGAGCGACCCCGTGCACCAACCGCACCAGTCTATTTAGAATTAGAGCCATACACGGGAAGACGGGTATCTGCGCTGGCTGACTGGATCCCTGTAGAAGCTCACAGACAAGCACAGAGGGTAGGACAGGTGACAGGTGCAACAGCCGTGACTAACAGTCCTTGTTCAGGTTGCTGGGGAGTACTGAAAGCGACGACGAGCCAGTGGATAGCGCTATGGAGGAGTCGAATAAGCGCAGAAGATGCCTATAGATGCCTACGGGGACGAAGCGGATCTAGGCGAGCATCCGCCCTCCGAGAAGCCGATTGCTACTTGGCAGAAGCCGAACTGCCCTCAGCGGCGCACTGGTACCTCGAAGCCACTCCACACGCACTCTGCCGGCGGCGGCCCACCGTTCAGCGGCGCTCTCCGTCCAGGAAGTCCCTCTCCAGGCGCATCTCCAGCTCCTCGACATCCTGCGCCGTCTTGGTGATGTCGGCCACCGTCCGCGACACGTCAGCCACCGCCTGCTCCACGTCCTCGGCCACGCGGTCCACGTCGCGCGCCACTGTGGTCAGGTCACGGGCCACCTGCTCGGCGTCGGCAGTGATGGGCCCCAGGCCGGCGCTCAGGTCGGCCGCCACGCGCACCGCCTTCGCCGCCAGGTCGTCGGCCAGGCCGTCGGGCCGGTCGTCGGACGCCGGCTGGCGTAGTCCGCCAGCTCGAGCCGGTAGCGAGTCGGTGGCCGGCAGCTGGATGGAGTAGTCGTTGGGTGCCTCACTGGACATGACCTCTTCCAGAGCCGTGGTGTCGGTGGGCGGTGCGATACCCCCACTGTGGCGCAGCTCCCGCACTGCGAACGGGCAGCCGTGCCGGTGGTGAACGGTCGCCGGCTCCACTGGGACCGCTCCGCGCGGCGCCTCTCTATATCGACGGAGGGGAGGCCGGCCAACTACCACCTGGCACGGCCACGGCGAGCGCCGACCGAGCTTTGTTGACGAGCCCGACTATTCGTAAAAGAACGAAGCCGCAAAAACGAAACTCGCGACACCCGTGCTCGCCAACTCTCTGAAATTGGATCGCTGCCGAAAAAAAAAACATCGAGGACCGGGTTTTGTCAGGCGAACAGACGGCGGTATCGATACCAGGGACGAGACAGAGGCACACCATTGACATACACATCTGTGCCAGCCCCTTCCCCTCCTCCACTAGGCAGTGACACGGGCACCACGCGTGGAATAAGGCACAATCATTAGGTATACGCAAATGGCACCTGTGAAAGGGATAGAATGAATACCGCTGGGTAACGGCTCACTGATGGCTCACATATACATATGCAGTTGCCGATTGTGCTATTGTCGGGCCTCGTTCATTTCTCACTTTTGGTACAATACACACATGTTGGTAGCTATTACAGCAGTCTAAGCAACTACAGACGTCTTGTCAACATGAAGGTGAATAAAGCCGCTTCCCTGGAAATGAACGGTGACAAGCAATGGGTCGCCTAGCAAAGGATCCGTAAAACACATACGGAACACAAGTCATGTAGAACATAATGCAAGCTATGAGTCGTAATGACAAGGTTCTTTCAAACTATTATGGTGACATATCTATTCCTGTGTGGAGGTCGGGAAACACACAATCTAAATGCGTTTCGAGATAGAGCCACATCCTGATTCGAGTCGCATGGCAACTGGTCATACATTCTCCCCACCGCCCAGAAATGACTGAAAACAAAGGGTCGACCAAAACAAAAGCTTAAAACCATTTTGGCTAAACGTGACCCAAGTAATTCATTCTAAATCCGGTTTGTATACGAGTAATTACGCCTGTCTGGTCACTTACAGCGGTCGCGGTTCTTCTGCAGCTGGTTGCAGACTCTTGCACGAGCGTCGTTGAAGTCAAAGTGCAGTCCGAACTGTAGCAGGTTGGGGTTCTGTTCCACGTACTTTGTGATCTCCATTTCGATTTTGTTCCCCAGCACCTGCGACCTCTGCACAAACACAACAAATAAAATCGTCAGATGTGCTTGAATGCGATAGCATCAAAATTACAGGCCGCTATGGGAAGCCTCACAATGGAAACAAACGGCACGCATAATGATAAAGAGAATTTGTTTTAGATCAGAATTCAAAAGCTCGTGTCCACCCTAAGCTTGAATTCAAGTGAATTCAATTGAAATGAACACTTGAATTTAAATATTTCTCACTTGGTTGGCGGCTCTGAAGGTTTCGACGCTTTTATGCACGAGGAGAGCCTTCACGAGCCTGGCGATCATCGGAGGGCTGATGAAGTTGGACTCGATGCTGAAAAAGAGAGCACGCAATCAGACGCTTGGACAGCATCAGCAGTTAGCGTCATTCGAAGAGTCCTAATGATGACACTCTCAGTAGCAAATAGAAAACACCTATCAAAACCAGTGGCGGCGGAACATCTTCAATTAAAGGGGGGCACTGCCGACTTTTGGTCCCATTCTTTCCATGCAACGCCCATAGGGCGTTGCATGGAAAGGGCTATGTTAAAATGCCAAAATCAAAGGGGGGCACGGTGCCCCGGTGCCCCCCTCGTTCCGCCGCCTATGATCAAAACCCTATCCACACCGACCACGCACCATGCCCTAGCCGCGGATACCAGCACAACGCACGTCCATCCCGACGGCAACATGATATTATCAAGGCCTTCAAAACCTGTAGCAAGGCCATATAAGACCTGTAGCTGAAGTATCGATCTTTTGATCAGTCAGTTAGTTTAATACTCACCTGATCTCCTTGATATTGGGATTGTTCTCGATGAGCTGGACCAGTTTCTCTGCGTACGTGTCTCCCATGTGGGTGTTGGAACAGAGAAGGCCCTCCAGGCGACTGTTGGAGCTGGCCGCCTCGCACAGACGGCCAAACTGCTCTTCAGATATCGTCTATAAAGTACAGATTTAGTGTCAACTTACGACATCGTCTGCACGGTACATATTAATTATTATTGACCAGTAGTCCGGTAGAAGATTAGCGGTCGTTTAACTTCTCCAAAGTTGAAATATGCACCGGTGTTTTATGGGGCTCGTATGTGAACCAAAAGTGCAACAGTGCCCTATTCATACACAATATGCATGTTGTTCGAATGACTTAACAACCGTAACAACCGGTCGTAACAACCGTAAGGTAGAGCTTATTCCGCAACACAACAGACCGGCAAGTATAAGTCACAACCCGATCGTTGCCGTCATGAATTTCAAGATAAACGCTTCTACGCTAACTGCGACGAATGTCTATTGTCCAGTTACCTATAATTTGCTTTTGATACATCTATGCATTAAACCGTTCATGGAAAAGTTGGTCAATTTGTGTTTGGTATACATATATATGCTTCGTTATGCCTACCTATACCGCTCTTCAAATAGAACCTAGCGAGTTTGAAAAGCAAACTAAAATGAAAGTGCTGTTTGAAGCTGTTGATAAGCTCTTTCTGAAGAGGCTGGAAGTGTTCCTACAACAGCTTGCAATACTGTAGACCATATCTCCGTGTATTTCCCCGAATATACCTCTCTATCTGCAGGCGTTTCTCGGAAAACAATCCTCTATCAGTAGACATTAGCAGCCGGAGTCAGCCCATATCCGGAGAGGAGGGGAATCGTTTTCCCCATTATCGTTGATATGCACATATAGCTGAGGGTTAACGTGTCCTGGCCAGCCTGTGTTAGACCACAATAGCCGTTTTACTTCTGACCTAATGAAGACCATTGGTTCACTGGTTCACTGTATCCTAGTCCGTATCCGTGTATGTATCCGTGCCCTTATCCATTTCCGTATCCGTGTCGTAAGTCCGTATCCGTGTCCTTAGTCCGAATCCGTGTCCTTAGTTCGTATCCGTGTCCTTAGTCCGTATCCGTGTCCTTAGTCCGTATCCGTGTCGTGTAGCATTGTCTGTGTCTGTATCTTAGTCTTTATTCGTGTCCGTATCCGTGTCCGTGTCGTCCGTGACAGACCAGTGTCCGCAGCCGTGCCCGTATCCGTGTCCGCATTTGTATCCGGAGTCTCATTCGTAGTCGTGCCCGACCTGTACCCGTGCCCGTGTCCTTGTCCGTGTCCGTGTCCTGAGCTGCGGCAGCCGCGTCTGGCACCGACGAACCAGCCGCGCGGGTTGAGCTGACCGAGCCAGCTGGCAGCGGTCCAGCCGGCCGGCCGCGCCGCCGGGCCATATATGGGGACACGGCGAGCTATGTCCCAACAAAGTGCCGTTAAATAGTGGGTGGACTAATTGATAATTCAACATTTGTCAAAGAGGTGGTCCGATCGTTACACTTGAAAACTAGGGGACCAAAGACGCCCCTCCAAGTCCGTTTATCGCTTGCCACCACGTAACGACAAGCGGTAAGCGGAGTTCGAAAGGTTGTATTCATAAATATGTTTTTTTAGCACTCCTGTCATTTTCACTTCCAATCAAAGGTCAGGTCTCCTGAGGCCATCAAAACTCATATGTTCTTTTCATGGTTTTAGAGAAATCGTTTCTCTACATGTTAATTGTTAGCTTATAAGGCTAGATCGGAGAAAAAAAATCGGAGAAAACAGCATTCGATTATCTTTTCACCCCATGCCGTCACAAGAGGGCATTTTGCATCCTTTTTGGTTGTTTTTTTTTAAGCATAAACTTATACGCCTTGTCCATACATGTGAAAACTTCTGCCGCTTCTCTTCAATCATCAAACGTCAGGCTGGGTGCTATAAATATAATGTCAAGTACCTATCCCTGCCATTACCTGAAAATAGTAAGGGACTCTCTAGCTACTCTGAAAGCTTCGACAACTCTCAGCGATTGAAAACCTCTGAAGGCTAAGCCATTGGCTTGCGGTCAAACTTGATTATATAGTTGAGAAAGAGCTTCAAAAAGCTTAGTGTTTTTCGAGATCTTTCCGAGCTCCTTTCATTTTCATTTGGATTCCTAGATCGGAGACGGCAGATAGATTAAATATACTGATAGAAACAGCTTACAAAAACCCCCACCACGCATATCAGCCCCACTCTGCACTTCAGCCGGATGGGAGCGGTCTCAGACGGCGACTAATCCGGTTCAATCTCGGGTAATCCTCCATGGCAGCGTACCCCATCTGCTGGAGAAGCGCCCACAGCGGGACGACCGCTGCCCGCGGCTGTCTACGGGCCTGCCCTCAGCTGACGACAGCCCAGAGGCGAGCCAAACACACACGCCAACAGGCTAATCTCGCTCTCAACCCGTATCATTATGTTGTTGACCTTTCGAGGGAGTAATATCAGAATTGTTTGCGCCAGAATTACGCGGTTCAATATGCGTTAGGAGGTCCACCTAAGCGGTATTTCCACGAAAATATTTCTAACGTTTATTAACATCAATGCTTCGTTTTATACGCAACTCATTTGTTGATTACAAAAAAAAATATGTCCCACTTTTTTCGTGACCTGCGCGAGCAGATGCAGGTGGTACGTAAAAGCTTGGCAAAAATCTTGCACACAAACACATGCATTCAGCCTTAAAACCAGCTTTAATAAGCAGCTGATTTCACTTTATTTAAATAAGCACAAAAAGAAAAAAATTATCGGCTACAGCGACAACAAAACAAAATTAAACGATACAATAAGGGCTACGCTCCCTTCCATATGTTTGACTTAGTCTGACAGACCGACGCGGAAAGTAGATGCTACTCTCAACTCGATCTGCTCCATACAGTTACAAGGAATCGTGTGAGAACGAACGAGGCTGGCTAAGCGCCTCGTTCATTCAGCTTTGGGGCGCTATCCTCTTCTGCAAGGAGACGATTGTGCAGGAGAATGGGTTACATGGGTGATGAAGTGTTAGATTTTCAGTAATGTGCTATGGTGTCAATTTTTGGGCGTAGACTTACACAGAGAAACAAAATGATGATAACGGCATGTTGGTATAGGTAAGTTTAGGCGTGAATTATGGATTCATTTGCTAATTGTACCTAATTGTGAACGATTAGTTTCGCTCAATAAACTTTTGGTTAGTTAACCCTCGCCCGTATTGGTGTTTTTCCAGGCGCGAACGTAAATAGGTAAGAGCTTCGCAGAAAAACGAGCGTGTTGCCCGTGATGAGAGGAAGCCGATGATACCCAATTTTAAGATCCTGGGTCCTAGGAAAGTTTCGTCGCGATCGGCCGCTTTTTACGCGAGTTATTCGCGAAAAACCGAGGGGGGTCCCTTACGGGCGAGGGTTAATTCCCTAGGTGATTTTTAGAGGTTTGGCATTCAACCACAGTTTATGACGATACTATAATAGTAATTAAACATCAGCAGAGTCCTATCTAACACTCTAAAGTAGCCGCCTGGGGCGTTGCTAAGCCTGTCTGAGCTGATACGTCCATGCGAGTAATTCAACAATGCATACGAGCCATACGGGTGCGCAACGGGTATTCCTATCGCCTCACAGTGTGCAGCCTAAAATATGTTTAGCCGATTACTGGTCATATGATCGCATTTACGAGCTCCGCATTCAAGCAAATGGACGCTGGAATAATAGGCTCACCAATGAAATAAAACTCTGTCTCACAAATGGGCCCGCCCAAATATGACATTAAGCCTTCAGCCTTGGCGTCTGATAAGTCCATCCTGCTGCAATAGCCTGTTTTGGTAAATTAGCTCTTGTGCATGGGTTGTAGTAGGGAGTGGAAATGGTGGCTTCAGAGACATGAGCCCAGAGACAAGGTTTCCAGCGATAGGCAGTGATTGCGTACAACATTAGGCATGTCAGAAACAGTAGTGTTTGCAAGGATATTGTAAAACAGTCGAAATAATTAGTAAGTAGCTTAGCATCCTTACCCGTCTTACAAAATGAGAGTTTGGCAAAGACCAGAAGGCACCGATCATGTCCAGCTCATCTGACCTAGTTTGACCTACCAAGACCAGCCGCTCTCAGACTCGCAGCGCTACAACATGCCAACCCACCTTGACATTGTTGAGGTTGAGCCGGCGCAGTTCCGGGTCGTCGCGTTTGATGCGCTCGATCGACTGCTCCGGGTCGGTGGTGTTGGGCGGCTCGGGCGCCATCGCTTTGGGCCGCGAGGCGCGCGTGATGCCACTCCAGCCAACCTCCTCCGTGTCCAGCTTCTTGCCGAGCAACGAGGCGTGGTACTGGTCCTGGTTCATCATCGAGTGGAAGCCCAGGATAGCTGCAAACGGGAGGGGAGTTAGATATCTAGTAGAAGCCCAGGGTCGTCGCTGACGGCTACAGACGACAGTAAAAGTCGCACGCCGACCGAGCCGAATGTTTCCGGTATAGCTGACACTGGAAAATATAAAACTAAAAACCTATGTGGTGCATTTCACGGCCTAAGCTGCAGGGCTCTGAGGAGAGTCCTGAATGGGATGTGACAACACCTAAGTCATCATTCCAGCCAGTCCTGTCTTTGTTGCTTGAATGGCGGACTCTGTCGTAAACCTAGATGAAAAACCGTTTCAATTTCCATCCACCACGGAACTGGTCATTATGAAACAATACAATGTGTCAAATGGTATTGTTCGCGTATAGTCATTTGCCAGATGTCATCCGGTATCTCGTAAACTGTAATGCACAGCCGTCGCAAAACACAGCAAGCGCCTGTGTATTTGCTTTTATCTTATGCTGTTATTTTCCAATATATTATTTTGCGCTTGTCATAATGCATTGTCATTTTGTCAAGCAAGGGAAAATAAGCACTACGCACTAAGCGGTCATTCCCAATTTGCCATTTTTTCTAAAAGGCTAGGTCAGCTTCACAAGAAGCTGTGGTCGACGTAAAAATTTAATTGGGGAAAAAAAAACTGAAAAGACGAACTTTCATGAATGGAACACATCGGTTCATCTCCTCATTATTTTAATAAATTGTTCGACCAAGTTACAACTCAAAAGGTTTTCGTCAACGAGAGAACGGACCAATGCTTTAGATGGCTGTCCAGTGCCCCATTATTAGCTCCTCTGAATGAGTTATGATGCGGTGTTTAGTTCAGCTCAAGCAGGAAAGCTGTTAAACCGCGTTACTAAGAAACACCTCTATGTATAGTGGACTACAGAATATGTTCCACTCTTCAGAAGCTATCAGTTGACCGGAGCGCTAAGTTGTGCCGTTTATCACGCAATTAAGCGTGTCGATTGTGAGCATTGGGACAAAGCTATAATTTGTGAACTCAGCCCGTGTGATGCGGCACGGCCTACCACTTCAGGCAAATAATGTGAAAAATGGAGCATAATTATGTAGTCGACTATACTCTCCAGCTGACAGCTTCCACAAAGGGCTGTCTTCTCCTACCCCGCCATTTCTCGTCATCGGCTCAACTCACATTAGACTTTCTTTTTACTTTTTTTCGCGAGCTAGTGGTTCGATCCCCTTGTCCAGTCAGAAGAATACGTTTTTGACGGGTTGAAAAGCATCGCATAAGGGAAACACTTTCATAATTACTTCCCTGTGACTGTGAGTCTCACCTGCCAGGTCGACCATCTCGCTCTCGGTGGCGTCGGCCAGTGCCGACTCGTACTCGTCCCCCATGTCCAGGGCCACCTGTTCATCGGCTCGCTGCTCCTCGGCCGGTGGCGGTGGTGGCACCCACTGTATCGGACAGACAGGACACGAGTCAGTAGAGATTTGAAAATAGCGGAGATTGAGATAATATGAGTGGTATTCAATGATCACTTCCCGTTAAAACTATCCAGATTGCCGGATACGGAGCAATCAGACAATGGCCCGAATACATGAGCAGAATAAATGCGCTCAAAAACGGATTACGATGCTTAGCGAATAGGAAAATCCGTTCGTGATGCGTATTTATTTGCTCGCGTATTCGGAGTCAGTACGAAGGCACCTGATGATGTGAACGCTTAATAATGCATTTTCGTTACCATGAAATGGCTAAGTATCGAGTGGCCTGGCCCCGACGCTCCAATCCTGTTATGGCTGTCCGTGAGATGCCCACTGCATGCCAGGGAGCTGCTGTGGCCCGTGTGCGTCCCTAGATTGTGGTTCCATCCGTCCCCGGGCACCGTTTAGGCGCCGGTAAACGATCCGACCGCGGCGGTCAGGCGCGCTCTCTACGCTCCACTGCCGTCGAGGGCGGTCCAGCCA